TTTCATTATTATCACGCTTTCACGAAGCGACAGCATCCCCAGTTTCAGCCGCAGGCGCTTCACCTTCCACCATCAACGCCAGGCACGTATTTGACATCTCTTGCCAATCTTCCAGCATCCTTCTTACCGACCTTCTTTTTCTTCACCCCAAAAAAAGATCTAATATCCCCACTCCTATCTGCCTTTCTCTTCTCCTCCTCCTCCTCTTCTCTCTCACCGGGGGTCACCCACTTCCACTCACCCCGCCCTGCCCCGCAAGAAGAATCACCCTTCCCAAGCTGCATACTCAATTTCTGCATCCTCGTTTCCCGCCATCCCGTACCCGAGTAAGGATTCTCGGACCGCTGGTGGCCCGTAGATGAGGAGTTCCATGGGTCGAACTGGTCAAGGTTGGCGGGGGACGGTTTGCTGACGATGTTGCGGATGGACGGGGAGATGGTGGATTGGTGGCGGGGCATTCTGGTCCCTTGGAGAAAAGAGGTGGTGAGAGACTGATGACGAGTTAGGTCTTGATGCTAAGGTTGCATAATTACCAAAAGTCACGCTGATGAGGCAAGAAAAAATGCCCGCATGCCGGAGCCGAGATGTTGTCATTTTTCCCGATCAAGTTTAGCGGATCTTCCTTTGACGGGATGACTTGCAGGTCACGTGCGCTAGCCCAGATTCAAACCCTTTGGATCATTTCGTACTCCGTAGCTAAATGTCAAAGAGCAGAGATGGTGATATTATCGATCTTCATCCTACTCCGTACAGCTGTGTCGATACTATCGGGAACCTGACTAGCCACCAGGAATGAACTCTAGGCCAGCCCCTATGGCGATAGATGCCTCTACAGAAACCCATGTTTCCTAGGCAGTACTTTCAAAGAAATATAGTAAAGATGCGGAACTAAAATTGAATATAGGCCATGATATCATTCATTCATTCACCCGTTGATCTATGACATGGCGAAAGTATAAAACGAAACATGAGAAGAGACACCATATCCCAAAGCTGCACCACCTACACCAAGATCGAAAGGAAGACACGAAAAAAGATAAAACACGAAAATGGTTCAAAGAGATGCAAAAGGAAAAGAGTGATTAGAATATAAAGGAGAAAAAGGAAAAAAAAAGACAAGGAAAAGAGGCTTTGGAGAAATGAATTTTTTATAAAAAGTGCTTCTTCCGCTCCAGTTCGTAAACATCACCATGCACCGGAAAGTTTAGCCGCTTTTTTTTGTGAACAAACTTTGCTTGACTGGAACATAACAGACGCGGTTTAACTGATTCATTGAGCATGCGAATCGTCATATGGAGAGATTAGTAGAAGGTTTGGGTTTGAGCAGAGAAACATGAAAGAAAACGCAAAAGACCAGCCTTGATCTAATAGGTAAGGCTTGCTCAGCAGAATATGAAGAAATGGGCTTAGAAAGAAAAGGAAATTCGTGTCATCATTAACAATTTTTTTTTTGAAAAAAATCACAAACGATGAAACGGCGGAATCCAACTTGCAAGAGATGGGTTGAAAAGGTATGGCGAAAGAGTACGAAAAAGGGCAAACTGGGGGTAGAAAACTGAACGCGCCAAAATTGACGGACGTCTGATAATTCTGTAGCCGATGGAAGGACACATCAAACGGCTGAAACGTGTTCGATTGGAACGGCGGCAGAGGCTTGCTGTAAACCACACGAATCAAAACTGGACCGGCGACCAAGCAACCAATCGACATAATATACGCGCAAATGGCACCCAGAAACGAGGCGCCAGAGAACTTCTAAAGCGTCAGGTGCCCACACGACAATCATGCTGTTAATCTTAAGGGTATTTTAACGACGTCGAGGCATTCCACCATTTTTCAAACTTTGCAGAGCAAGTGATGCGCCACCCACGGGGCCTCCGACGGGATTCTCGGTAAGAGTTTTCCGGCGTTTATGCTCGAAACCTCCCTCGCAATTTTGGCTCTCATTCCGTGGCGGTTCTTCTTGATCGTCATCGTCTCTGCAACGTTTGTTCGAGCCGTTCAAAGATGAAGAGGGGTAAGTCGATGCCGATTGTGACGAAGTGGAATACGCATCTCCCGTGGTCCCATTAGCAGAAGTACTCCTAGTGTCGCTGACAACATTGTATAGGCTGCTGGGCGGTCCCAATCGCGGTGTAGAATAACCAGGATTCCACTGGGCTTGACCACTGGGCCTCGAGTTTATTCTGTCGGTGCCGTTTGTATTGCTGGTTGAGGTTGGCATCTCAGAGGACAATTGGTTAGTCTCTCCCTGGATGCTACCACTGGAGTGATTCGTGCTATAGTTGTACGATCCACGGTTGCTGTTATAGGCGCCGTTGGCATCGTTGATGTATTCGGTCTCGTGCTCTTGTCCTCCCTCTCCCACTACACTGCCATGACCAACTTGCCCATTTCCCTGACTGTGCAGATATTTGTTAGTATGCCGCAGGTCCGATTCATTTCCGGTGATCATTGATTTATCAAGGTTTGTCGATGGCTGTCTCACATACCTAGACATGCTCTGTGGAGCAGTGGCTTGTTGTGTAGTGAACTGCGCCTGAGTTGAGGGTGCTGAAGAATAGTACGGTTTAGAATCATAACTCTGTTGACTTTGGTACGATTGCATGCCTTGCAAATTGGATCCTGGAGGAGTCGTCGCTGGGGTTGTCGGCATTGACCGTGAGTTACCCAAGCCAGTGTCAATCGACAAGGCATGCGAGTTGTGAACACTGCCAGCCCAATCATATGAATTTCCTTGACTAGGGACGCCGACCAAGCTAGAAGCACTAGCAGGAGGAGTTGGGAAAGTGTGAGCCCGCTCAAAACTTGGGCGGCCAGCAGGAACAAGTGCTTGGCTCGACGACTGGCTAACCTGCGATGTAACAGGGTTGTGCATGGAATGATGATGGTGCAATGGCGGAGGATGAGGGCCTTGGCTTGGGCGGCCTTGTTGATGACTGGCCTCAAGTCGCCTTCGCTCAGCGGCTGCAACAACGGCATTCGATCGAGGCTGGTTTGTTGGATGGTACAAGAGACCTCCGATATTGTGGACGAAAAGTGGATACAATTGGGCTGTAATCTTTTCCTTGTTGGCGAATTCAAGAGCCCGCTCAAAAGGGATCCTGGAAACCATGTTAGTGGTGGGTTGATAGGAGAAGGAAGTACTAGGCAACTCACCATACACCCTTGAGATGCATAGGCCCAATTTTGACTACATGTCGAATCTTTTCGCTTTTGAGAATACCGTCTCTTCTGCCTCTTGTCATACCAGCAACATTCAACAGTTTTGTACCGTTGACCATGTGATTGTCTGTTTCAAAGTGGTCAGCTTACGTTAAGTCAAATTTTCTAAAACGATCAGAACCCACCTTCTCTTCGAGCCACACAAACACCTTTCGCCTCAACTTGGAAACACAAACTACCCTCATCCTCCCATAAAGTGGCCGTAACCCTCGGCTTCATGCCTGGAGGGGCTATTTGGCCTGTAGTATCGAACGGCACATCGTAGGTCTGGGCATGGTTGTTGGACCCAGCATAACCATGAGGGCTGGGACCTGTCGTCATAGCTACAGGTCTAGTCAGAAACAAATTCAACGTAGTTTCAAAGTCAGCTGGGATTTCAAAAGCTCACCGGGTAAGGGTAGGATTTGTGCAGGGACGTGTGTAGCAATGGAACTTGTTACTGGTTGACTGCTCGATTGCGGGGAGGTAACTGGGTTCGAATATCCATAGGGATATGCGCTGGTGGTGGGTGCGTACGCCGAAGGTCCGGGTTGCAAAAGTGGCGGTTGTTGATATGGATAATGCGGTATTGTCTCAACGTTTCCGGGCTGGGACGTATACGCTTGCGCGGAAGGCAAATGCGACGAATGGACGTCCATGTAGGACTGAGTTTGGTGCATTGTCCCCAAACTCTGTGGGTTCTGGAGATAGCCTTCCCCTGCACCCATATAATCTACTTGTCGCGCGGATTCTGGAGGGGGTCGACGATGCAAGCCTTCAGCTCCCTCCGCTGACGATGATTCGGATACTTTTGGCTCAGCGGGAGAGAAGGAGTGAGCGGTAAGCCCTGTGCCGGAACTCAATGTCTGTGATCCCGAGGAATATAGTGTAGAAGATTCCAATTTCACGCTTGAGGCTGAGGAGCTCACTCCAGAGGCGGTTTGCTGCGGGTTTGGGAGGCACAACGATCGCAATTTCTCACCGCCCAGAGATGGTCGTTGAACGGCGTGATGGTTGTAGAATGGGATATCAATAGCGTCGCGGGTGTGCACTTGAGATATCGACGGTAGCTCCAGCTTTCCGGTTTGACACGAAACGTCCTTGAGTAGAGATTAGTGTTTTCTAAGCGTAATTCGCGAGGAACGACTGGCGCGAAGCGAGCAACGTATATGGAAGTAAACTGCCGTAGGGGCTGAAAGAGATCGGGTTCCACTGAAAGACCGATTCAAAGCTGCGGTTGAGGTTGTTGTTTCAAGCGCATCCAAGATCATAAACACAACAAAAAGTCTAGGTCAAAACGATCTAACTGGAGCCGTCAAAAGCCAAGTAGTTGGAAATAAGGACACGAACGCTCAGCAAATTTAACGCAATCGCAGGTAAAAGTACACGGAAGCACTTTGGTCGATTCTGCCGTTGGTTTCCCCGGGTTGACGCTGGCAATATACGCGAAACGGGCCAAGTCAGCAAATCGGTGTTGGCGTCAGAAACAGGTTCGTCCACAACGGATATCGAGAGTCCTCTCACGGATAGCGGCAAAATGGATTAAGAGAGCGAAACAAGTCCGATATGGTTACTCAACTCGGCGCACGTGGTGGACAAGATTCGCCGCAAGGTCGAGTGATACTGGCTAAGCTCTCGATGGTTCGTACCTGTTGAAGTACATTGACTGCGGATCGAGGAATTATGGTGATGAAAACGCAACAAGGCAAAACCAAGCAAGAAAGTAACAGTCGTTTGCGGTTTTCGTAGCAGTCGTGACGGGTCGTAGGAGGCTGGAGACAGAGCCCTTTTCCCCCCTTCTTTTTGATTCACTTTTCTCCAGTTCCCTTTTTGTGTGTTTGAATCTGGAGAGCAGAAAGAACGACAGAATGACGAGATATCAGTCAATGTGCGACAAGGTGGACGTTGGGAAGCAAGCAAAATAAGATCATGCAGGAAGTACGAAATGGAGTTATGCAGCAAGCGAGACAGGTGGAAAAAAGGGAAAACAGGGCTAATGTCCAACGACACAGGAGGGTGCAAGGGTCATTCAGTCATAAACGGAATCATTGGGCAGTGAGATGGGACGACAACCCATGAAGGGGGGGGTGGGGGGAGAAGAGGAGTGGTGGGAGGTTGAGGGTGAGAGAGAGGGAGAGGGAGAACAGCGAAGGAGAGGAGATACAGAAGCACGGATACTAGTTTAAAGAGGAACAAACAAGGAGACACCCGTGGTGATCACATTACCTGCCCTGGTCGGAGACGAAGAACACGACTGTGCAGTCAGATCAAGACTGACAAAGGTTGCTGACAAAAAAAGCGAAAATGTGGAGGCTGGGGGGAGCGAGCGTGAGTGTGGGCGGTGGGAGAAGAGGTCGGGATGTTTCTTCCTGGTGAGCGGACGGGGAGGCGAAGAAACAGCAAACGCTAGTGTCCACTTGCGCCGTTCAAGGGCGATGGACCGGTGGATACGCTTGACGCTCCCGCACCCGAAAGACGCCTTGGGGCCCTGTGATTCGCTTTGGGCTTGGTCGAACGGATATCCGATGGTCCCTTCGCACGTTCAGGATCGAGTTTGGGAGATGGGAGCCCCCCGTGCGATAATATTGCAGGTATAGCTCCTTCGGGCAGACGGAAACAGGGCTCGATCAGAACGGCCGCGTCCGAAACGAAGAAAAGGGACAGGTCGAGACAATCGCAATTTAAGCTGGAAGAGGAACTGCAGACAGGAAATCAAAGTCGACACATGGCACGCAGTGTGGGTACAACGGCTTCTCGATATCCCAATGACAACAATTCAGTCCAGGTGTACAGGCCGGCGTACTTCTATTTGTTCGTTCTCCAGCGAGATCGGGGCCCGCGGTTGCGCGATATATATATAGCTTAGGAGTTATACACAACGCTTGTGGTATGATGATTGGCGTCGTCGACGCTGGAACAGAACATGTCCGTGCTCTCGCGCAAATAAAAGAAGTCGTCAAAGCCTGTTCCTCTCTCAAAGAAGTCTATTGAGACTTTGCTCCCTCCTCCTCAAATCTCAGCGCGATTCTTCCGACCTCTGCCCCGTAAATGCCAATGCTCTCGTCGACAAATAATGTTGGTTTCCCACCGTATTTTTCTGTGGCCTAGATCCTGTATTCTCTGGATGACTTGTCGGTATTGTTTGGTACTGGCCCGATACACCCTGTAACGGACCGTACGGGACTAGCGTCTTGAGCACCAGCAGCTTCACTTCTGGCAAGTCACCAGGCCAAACAGCAGCAATCTTGCTCAGCCCTCACCGGCGCATTGTTGGGTGCCAGAGCGCTCCTCTCGCTCATATCCACCGTCAGAGCACCGTGTTTATTTTCGCAGAGAAGAGCGTAAAACCGTCGAAAATTACCTCTTCGTGGATATTGACGCTTTTCGAGCTAAGACTGGGAGTGGATCCGTTTGACAACTCAGAACCCAGCCGGCAGTCGTGGGGTTCAGCAGAGCGGTTATGCAGTGTGTGATCGACTTCCCCGTACGACCTACCGCCAAACAACATCAAGAGTCAGAAACATGAAATGGACACAGCTGCCACCCTGTCTGTCCTGTACTCTCGCGTGACAAGTCCCGTTCATCTTCATCATCATCATCTCCAGGAAAAAAAGGGCCCCCAACCGGGCGAACGAGCTCAAGCCCTTTCTCTCCCACTCGCCTCTCCTCGTCGAGCCAGCGGGTTTCCGTATCGACAAGGGTCCGACTGGCGTTGGGTCAAAGAAAATTTGCCTTTTCCCAGTTCCCTAGCTTGATATCCAGACATCATGGCTTTTTGAGCGACCAAGCTCAGAAACCTTTTGCTGGTTTCCTTTGAGCCCATCGAATCATCTTCCCGAAATGGTGGAGAAAAGCTTGATTGATCTGTGTCAGCACCAAAATCTGTTGGAACAAAGCCAGCAGCTCTCTTTTTTTTTGCATCGCGGAAGACTCAGGGATGGCTCCTCTCCATCATCCATGGATCAGCCGCCACCACAGACGAAACTGCAGACTGCGATCCACTCGAATCTCGTGTGGAGCTCCCGGGGCACTTGTCAACCTGCGTTTGTCAAGTCCATTCAGGTCCCATGTCCAACCACCCCCCTCCAAGCCACCGTCCCAGAAACCGGGAGAACTCACACCTGATGAAAATCGTTTAGACGGGTCTTCCGGAATCATGATTCTCTCTTGGTCCCTTTGCCGCGCAAAGGACTCGATGGCATGATTTTGTTTGATCCCGTCCCGTTCTCCATCCCCTCGGAATGCTGATGGAAATGGCATGCGCATTTGGAAACTTGCCTTTTTTCGCGTCATACCGCTTATCCTTGCCGTTTTTCCAGAAGCATAAAAGAACTTCGCAACTGCGCCAACTCTGGAATATCGTTGGCGGCATTGCGAGAAGCTTCGACAAGAAGATGCATGGAGTTAAGAGCCTCCCCGGCATTCGGGATCAACGCAACCGGGCCTACCCGGTTGCTCAAGAATCACCAATAGAAAACTAAGCGTCTCTTCTCGAAGTTTCGTCGACTCAACACTCGCTGTGGTTATGAAATCAGGATAAAACGCTGTGCGGCGTCTATCGGATGAGACTTTGAATAACGAGAATAGACAATGCCAAGGCCACAGAATAAGTGTTCGACGCGCCGTGCTAGAATAGGAATGTCGATGATCTATAAATCCCTTCTCCTGGCGCAGTCTGTCATCTACCTAGAACAGTTATCCAACGTAGTCAAAATTGGCCGTTCCTGGACAGCCATCTCGAGGAGGTTCACGGTTTCTGACACTGCCGGAAGACCGACGAGTTCTCCTGACCCACTCCCCTTCGCCTGAAACCCAAGATGAATATCCATGCATACATAGCACCTACATATGCAATGCAAATACTAAGAGCTTCCCCAAAGCTCTTTATGCGAATCAGCCTTCACGTTATGCAAACTGGAAGCTCCTAAGGTGGCGCAGGCGTGCATTGGGACGATATCTTACATAAGCAACAACTTCGGAGAGTTAGCGTGGTCGTTGAAGCACCTTCGTACGTTACCAACGCTTTCAACTCTGTAAGATACGACCTGTTAACCACCGTGGATTACAAGCCAGTTTCGGTTCTGAGGATGACAGCTAGTAACAATACGGCGCCCCGGAGAGACCGAGAGCGAACCCTCTCGGCTTGTCGTCCACTCAACTTCAACTTGCAACCTCATCCCGGTCGATGATGTGCAGTTGCAGCGGGAACGAGATGGGTTGGCAAAGGCTAAAAAAAAGGGAAAAAAACAAAGATTTCGAGCCCAAATTTCCAGCACCTAGACGCATTCCAGCCAATCACGGGGCATTGCCTTCAAACGCGTTTTCCCCTCCACTCCTGTCCTGGGTTGGAAGGCTGAGTATTTGCAGGGACGCCGGTGGGATGAGTCGCTGAGGATGCTTCTTCGATTACTAAACTGTGAAAGAGTAAGGCGATGTCCGTGATGAAACAGGCATAGTCTCCACTTCGAACCTCTTGAGCGCCCCCAGCGTTGTACGGAGTACGTTCTTCTTTTGGGTCCAAAAGAATCATCACAGATGTTTCTGCCCTTTTCCAAAGCCCCAAGATGGACCTTGGAACCCCATATGGGTCTCGGGCGGGAGCGATCTTCTCCATTTCCCTTCAAAGAAAGCGGATCGAAGAAGAGAGTGGGAAAAGGAAAAAGGAACCCGCTTGCCCGCCCGTTCCATGGAACCGACACAAGCCAAACGCCAGAATGGAGGGGACGCCAGGGCAAAGACAGCCAACCACGAATTTGCAAGATGTGGGAAAAAGAAAAGGAATATGAGGAGCATGTAAAAGAAAACAAAGTTTCCCAGAGCCGAAGCTAAGGGTGTCCCTTCCCGGACCCAAGAGACAAGAATAATCACATAAAAATAGACCGGCGAGAAGAATTACGAATCGACTTTTCCACAGTGCAGGTCCGTGGAAATAGTCAAAATTATTCATGGGTAAATCGATTTACCCACGGGAGCTGCGCGGATGAATTTCTCATTGCGATTGGTTACGAAATTGTTAAATATTAATGGGGAGAACAGATTGATTGATTGTGTGGATTTGGTCTTTCTATCTGGCGGTGGCTTGACCTTGTAACATTCTAAATTGTCTTCATCCTCGTCATGGAAAGACGCTTAGGGTTGCTGTTGGAGCCCCATAAGTCATTTCTGATCGAGTTTCCAGTTGGTTTCAAGTACAACTGTTTTCTGCGTCCAGTGAACCTCAAATTTCCAAATCCCGGAACCGCTACTCGGTACTGTGTTGGTCGCTTGAGGAGTTGGTTCTCCTTGCGAATTCAATAATGAGAAGTTCTAAATTATACAACATCAATCCCACTCCCTCGGAGTGTTTAGCACACACAGACACATTCAATCCCACCCGTGGCTAGGTATGTGAATGGGAAGAACCCCTGCACTCACCTTTCTCAAGAAAGAGACCGCTGATTTTAGCTAGAGACGGTTTAGGGCCAATAAGGCGACCAGAAACACGACCTGAGCCAACCGCTCTTAGACCAATGACAAATCCTAGTTGAGAAATGCGAAGAAAAAAGGGCCGCTCCGGAGGCCCGTGCTGGTCGGACGGTGTTTCCTATTTTCCCCTGCGCAATTGATATCAAGAAAAGACGTTCTATAAACAAATTCAAATCGCGAGAGTCAGGGATAGGTTCAAGTTCTCAAGATTTCGATGACTTCCGCAACAATATGTATGGTAGGATCAAAGCGTAAGTTGCGCAAGGACCAATACATAGTGAAGAACTTGAGATTAGTGATCAACTGATTTCCCCCAGACGGAGCTTACCTATAAGAAGACAATCTTCGTCAGTTCTGAGGGCTGAAACGGGGAACAATACGAGGCGGAAACTTCTGCCTTCTGTTTTTCAGATCACCGCGGACAAAATTTCGAGCTGATGTACATCCATTATTGGGGCCGACAAACAATCGATGAAAGCTCATTGATCAAAGCCATTATTTTCCTTCAATGACTACTCTCGTCCAACTAGCCATAACTTCCTTCGGATCGCAACCAGCGCAAATAGATTATTAGCTGTGAGGTTAGAGCAAGCTGATAACGAATGATGTATCCCCGTTGCTGCAGCATCGAAACCACGCCCTTAAGGTTGGCTGCAGATGATAAGCTGCGTGTGCACTCTGTACCTGCGTCGGAACTATATCCTGCCAGGAACGAAAAGTAGGTCTTGCATTTCACCCTGACTGGAGGAGGGAGGGACATTTTTCCTGCGAGCACAGAACCGAAGAACAGGCCTTGGTAAATGGTCGAAATATTATAAACTGTTCTACATATACATGATGCTCCCCGGGTGCTACTGCAAGGGGCAAGGTTTAGTGCTCCCGCATGCGCAAAAAGGAAGCTGTTGCGCGAAAAGCCGAGGAGGAGCGCATATGTATCTGGATGGGGCAAGCAATATGCAAGGAATTAATTTAACCTCACATTGCATCTTTCGACTCGAGGAACGATTGCCCGTTGCTGTCCCTTGCTACATCATTATTCCACGTTTTTTTCTGAAATGCCCCGTGCCTCGTGTGAGAAAGGCCGGCGCATTTAATTCTCCAAGTCCGGATTGCTTATGGTGCATGGGTTAGCGCTCGGGCGAGAGTTGCTCGCAAAGTCCAAGCAGCACTGATCAACAGTCGCAATCAACTTCCTCGCTCATACCCCTCCCGCGATCAAAGGTTGGTCTGGTGTATTATTACTCGATACTTGTGTGGGCGTATGCTGAGATGGTTCCGTAGCACCGGTGAGTCCTCTGGAGCGAGTGAGATCTATTCGTCCCCTCGAATAGAGGGACATTTGAAATAACCGAGCCATCTTCAACAGGGAAGACGAGATCTCGCAGTCCAACAGAGTTTAGCTTGCAGGGTCCCGCAAGAGCTAGCTCACAATTAGGTTCCGTGCCCTCCATGCAACGCAAGCAACGGTGGCAACAGCGGGCTATTCTTAGCACCGAAAGATTCTGCGGAGTCGCATCCTTGCAAGCTTCCCTTCCGCTGCAGCTCGTCGCTTGAAGTATGGAGTACGAAGTGAAAAGTAGAGGAAGCTGTGAGGTGGTGGTGGGATCAACCGAAGGCGGGAGATGACTCGTGTATCATCGAAAAATAAGGACATTTGGCCCCAACGCAGATTTGATTTGCGGATTAGCGAGATGGGTCCTGCGACGGAAGACCAGGCTGCCATGCAGACGCCTCCGCACACATCGCTCGCGCCCTCGAGACCCGAATAATTGTCGTGATATCAGACGAGCAGAGACTTTGATCCGAGGACCGTCAGCGTGATGCTTTCTGGCTCTGCCTTCGCAAATAATAATGGCACGTCGACAGGCATTAATCGATAGATCCCCATCCAGCTAGGATTTGGCATATGCCATGGCGGGGAGGTCGCCGTTGGAATTGACAACACAGAGATGGACCAGGGTCCCATTCCGCTTGGCAATCAAGCCATCCGCGGTTTGTGTAGGACCGCGGAGCAGGGATTACGAGCGAGGCTCCAGAAATCCTGTGCACAAAGTACCACCTTTCTGTCATGGGTCGATTTCCATGAAGGAACGGAGCAATCTGTCGAATTTTTCAGTTTCAAGTGCTCATCATTGTGCGGGTTTCGGCGTTGGATTTGCCAAATATGAATCAGCGGCTATGGAGGCCAAAGCCTATCAATGTCTGCAGTGTGGAGTGCGGTCCAGACTCTTTACCGCCTTGCCGCCCTCATTAAGCTGTGACCAGCGATGTTGTGCTACGTGGCTGGGGAGAGCGCTTTTCCGGCAGAGCATTTTGCTTTTTCGAATCACAAATTCCTCCATGACCAAACGACAAACTCTGTCGTCGTTCTCAGGCCCGTCCATGATGTGTTTCTTTCGAGAGCGAAGCGTCGAAACCAAACCCACAAGGTTAACGCCACTCACCCTGGGCCTGAACGAATCAAGACAGGCGGAATGAAGGCCGAGCAGTCGCAAGTGGCAGCACACTGGGCGATTGACTGGTGGTTGCAGCGGCCACGTATCTTGAGGCCAAAACAGACGCCATCGAAGATCCATGGATGCCAAGAAGCGTCGTCGGTTCTCCTCCTCACGGCTGTCATTCCAACCTCCTCCTCCCATCATCGCTCCTCACCTGATATTGGCCAGGCCGTGAAGGAGCTCTACTCTTCGGGACTCCTGACGAGCAAAATTCTTGCTTCTGGGCTCTCCATCGCCTCGAAGGAAACTGAAAGCTCACAGCCTCCGCTGCCAACCCAGCTGAGTAACGGGATTATCACCGCGATATCAATCCGGCGATAACGACGACTTGTGTGTCGGTCGATTGGCTTCGTCTCGCCCGTCATGACTCTCGCCCCCATGATGAGTCTTTGCAACCACCCCCTGGTCCCCTATCCGAGGCTAATGCACCATCCAAAATGATGACAGGGTTCAGCAGCGGACCCTCGTCGCTTCTTGACGAACACCTCCGCCCTTGGATCTGACGTTTCGCCGAGATGAACGCGCACGTTCTTGGAATGATTGTCCGTGCTTCTGGACTTTGTGCTGAACAGCACTTTGCTGGAAAGAACTAGCTATTTGGTTCTCATTCTTCTTTCAAAAGTCCTTGCTTGACAGTGACAGCCAATCCGCAGGAACCCTCATCATGCTGATGCCCGTTTCACAGCCAGAATCTGCTGCTTTTCCTCCCACAAATCAAAGACAGTGGAGCTCTTTAGTTTTGTGGTCAAAGCGGTTTCAGCTGCACCCACCCGTTAATGCATATGCGAGTGTTCATCAAGTTCCGAGAGGATCCATGCCAGTCCTAACACCGATCTTTTGCAATCAAGCTTCGTGGTGGCAATTCCCCTCTTGCCTTTTACTGTCCATTTCAACAGATTCTCACCTGTGCTACAGAGACATGACAAGACAGAATTTTCGCCCAATTGTTGGTCTCCTTTGCTGATCAAGGCGAGTTAGTGGAATTGTGTGTCGCAATTTTCGCGTTGGGAGGTCCAACCTCCACTCTTCCTGGCGCAGCATTCAGCTCAATGTTGCACAGTCAGAAACCATGATATTTTTGCTCTATCTTCTGGCTTATTTGCAAAAATTTTCCGTGCTTTCTAATTTCAAGATCAATCTCAGTCTTTCTGTGTTCCCAGGCCTTGATACTGGGCGTCGATATCAGGCCAAGGGGACACAAGCTAGTTTTTACTGCTTTTGGTTGCACAGAATCTGCAGAAACATACTAACAAAGGACTCTCCGGAATACTTTGTACACCCAAAGTATTGGCGAAGGACAATGTTGTTTGTACCATTTGCCTAAACGGGTTGCAGTTCAAAAGTTGAACCTTGAGAGAGATCTTGCTAGATTCTCTTTTCCCCATTACTTATTACTTATATCCACTTCGTTCAAGTCAACACCACCGCAGCTTGAGGTGAATAAAGTGACATGATTTGTATAATGTGACGCGGTTCCGTTGTGAATTTCTGGCGCCAAAATCAACAGTTCTCTGGCCTTCATAGCGGCAAACATAAAATATAAGGATCTGCATTTCCTTCAGATCAACCTGAACCCTCGACGGTGGCATTGGTAGCTGCCTCCATCCATTGATCATCAGGGAAACGTGCTGAACATCGAGGCTCGCAACGGCGGACACACCAGATCTTGATATAGCGATGGTACACACCATTCCCGGGCCAATTTTTTTTTACATAGCCCCTTGCATTGCACATCTTGATTTACTTTCCCCGGTATAATGCCACCTTCCTAACTATCATTATCCTAGCTGCCGCTTTTACTTGAAAGTTGTTATGGGGGGCATCAAGAAGTTTTTTACACAGCCTTGCCTTTTGGAACCTGATATTCGACGAAAGGCCGTCAATCTCCCTTGTATCTGCTTCCTCGAATAGTGACTTTCAATATTGCTCTTGAAATGTTACTTGTAACATTGTGTTACGTCTGTCACAACGTACAGTGCCTGCGGCTACGTAAACAGGCAATGTACGACTCTGCAAAGGCATAATACTCAAGAGCGCTTCAGTCATTAACTCATTTAGCATAGCCCGAACGTGGAGGATGTGAGATACCGCCATCCCTAATGATGTCCTACATACCTGTTGGATGAGAGACAGGATTGATTCGAACTTAATATTGCTCAGTTCAAACCGTTCAGTGAATAGCGCCAAATCCCTGCTGGCTGGCAACCAACTTGGAACAAGAGGCGTCACAACTTTGGAGTCCACAATTGATTCTTCGAAAAAAAACCTATCAGAAACGAGAATTATGAGGTTCATGAACCATGCATGTCTGGCGGTAAAGGCTCCACATGGGCGGTTGATCTTCTTTACCTGGTCCTTCTGACTGGAGCCAGCATTGGCTGCATGTACTAGATACGTACATGTACATATGCAGGCTAGAGCATCAAACTTGGGATTCATAAAGGTCAAAGAAAAAGGGTTGTACCATATGTACAACGAGAATGGTGCCACGTAGCACTTATGATGGCTGGGGAGGATGACAACACCATGCGGACAAAAATCTAGAGCTCTAGAATGTTGCGACATCACTTGTTTATCCACTGAGTTGCTGTGTCTTTGAATGATTCCTCGGACTTTGGTCGTTTCTTACATATTTCCTCGGCATTGCCAGGCACTTCCGATTGATATCGCTTGAAGAAGCAAGCCGCCAATTATCCCAACCCTGGATCCCTTGTCTTCATATGGCTCTTATGGGGCCATGTCAAGTTCCTTTGGCAGGCTTAGATGAGTGATGCTTTTTGCGCTGGGCTTCGTAGTTGACTTTGGGTTACCAAGAGTCCAGGCTTTGGAGCTCCAGATGCACACTTTGCAGGATGCATTTGCAAATACTCCCAGTTCATATTTTCAATGCTTGACACAATCAGGCCGTGCAATGAATAAATCCCAGCACAACTTCTTGGCTGGTCTAAATAAGCGCGAAGTGCTTTGAGTTTGAAGCATTTCAGAGTATCACCAGACGGAACATTCGACGTTATTCGCTTATGCATGCTCCCACTATGAACAGGTGCTTGATATGGAATTCCCTCTTGGGAAATCTGATGGCTACTTTCGTCTATGGCCTATGTTTCTGCTAGAGACGGGGGAATATGCTTCGAAGTTTTCATTCACGACCAACTTTCAAGCACAAAGAGCTATTTGAGCCAACAAATAGCCCGCATACAGTTGTAAGGAGGTTTCCAAATCCTACAAGCTTCTCAACTGCCTACACCATGATGTCATTATTGATAGGGAGAGAAATTCCCGTGCAAAGCATGAGTTACATACGCTCGATGTCTATTTGGGTGTTGAAAACTCAAGGCGCGATAAGGCCCTGCATACACACAGTACGCACAGGGATAGAAGCTTCCATCAGCAATTGTTGGATGGTATCACAGAAATGGGGATGATCTGCTCGCCTGCCTGTATTCCCTTTGTTGTCACACTCTAGATACACCGTTCACACATCAATAATAGAGAGCAAGTAAGGTACGGAGTACAGGATGGCTGATGACCCTAATCGACATTTTCAGGTGTAGATCGCGCATCGCTACATACAATGGAGTACAGATGACATATTGCAAACAACTTGTCTCGTCAATTCAAGGACAATTGGTCTCAGACACTCAATATCAGCCCATAGTCTGGTGATGCGCCATGATGATCCGGTACCTTTGATGTTGCCAGAAGCTGAAAGGTCTTGGGATTTTGCCGATTAAGGGCCCGGTCAATCGAATCATCCTTCAACGCACGATACGGCGCTATACCATGTATATTAGCTTGTATGGCGAGTGATCACTTTCAAGGTTGTCTGAATACATATATGGAATTCCAAAAGGTCATGCTGTGAATATGCTAGAAACTAGTACATGTCAGTTTTTAGTCTTCGTGCAGCATGCAACATTGTAGAAATCGCAGCATTCCCAGTAAAGTACTCCGTAGGCCTTCTCACTTCTATTTTCGAACCATTCAACGGCGAACCCAAGTCTATAATAAACGTAACCAAGTAGTTAGTCGAATATGATAAATGTCTGACGCCGATAATGCAAAACCAAGTTATTATCCAAGAGGAAATTGCGTCATTTTCGCTGGCCCCTTTCTTCCCTCCTTTCTTTCTGCTGGGTAAATATTTGCTGCCAGATATCGAGCCAGCCTTTCTGGTCGGCTGTTAACTCTTTTTTCGGATACCGGAAGATTTGGGCGAGGACATCTCGAATCCTAGTGCTTAACGCTTTGAGTGCAATCATAGTTTTCCAATCTTTCATTGAAAATCTAATGCGGTTACCGTCGATTGAAACGACCCCGGAGTATATCTGCAGTCGGAGAATTTAGGCGTGTTCCTAGCCCCAAAAGACGGTAGAAAGATGGGCACTCACTTTGAAATCGGCGTCGCCGCACAATAGTGCTATGCAAAAATCCTCAACGGCACTGGTCTCGTGCGCATTGTAATTCCGATTCCGCGACTGCATTATATGATAATAAGAGAGCCACTTTATTGAGGCATCTGCGTTTTTATTTACCGATGTAGCATGTAGGACCACGGATTGATTATTCGAAATATTCCTCCATCCCTTTCCTTGGCGTGTCAAGATTCTGGGATAGAAGCTCCATGCAATCACAGCATCCATAACCAGGTCATTGCTACTATTGATATCTAACCGGTCGGGAACGGTGAAAAATTGTCGTTTACGACCAGAGAATCGCGCCCTTGATTGTAAATCAGCAAGAGGTGATACACAAGGGAGAAGTGAATAAGAACCTGTTCAGCGCCGCTTGTTCAGAAACGTCTAACTTGACCAAACCTGTATCAACCAATGAAACCAGCAACTGAGTTTTGACGTCTTCAATGTTTAGCAATGCCTGGGGACTTAAGCAATTCTTCCGGCAAAACGCAAATTCGTTCATTCCTGGTGCGCTGCGGCATCTGCTCCAAGCACTGTAGGCATTGTAGACAGAGAGTAAATCGGAGTTTCCTAGCTATCGATGAGCATTTGAAACCTGGGGAATCATAAATTTGTATAGTTACTCACCTCGCCCAAAAGTACGCTTCGCTGCTTGCGTCTGATCATTGGATGCACCTGCGTGGACAAAAGGAGATTTACAGGATAGGATAGCCGCAATACTAACTGTAGCATCCACACACTGAAACAAGGCACCGTATAGGATCAACTTTCCCAAGAAGACATCTAGTGGGAGTTGGGCGAGCTGTTTACCTAAAGGAGTTAATGTTTCAGCGCCTGTGAGGGCTTTAACCGCTTTAAGTGCCTCGATGGCCCGGCGGATGTTCTTGGACGATGGAGGATCCAATGCCTCAGAGAGTGTTTCCTCAGTATCGCCCAAATTGCAAATTTTGACACGGAGGATTAAGTCTTGGAGGGAAAGGCGGAGCATCTCAGGGGTTTGTTGTTCTGCCAGCTGTGGATAAGTTAGTCACAGACGATTCGGGGAAGCCTGAGATTAAGGGAAACGGACAAGTGTATCATGTCGATGCTTGGTAAATAAATGAAAACAAATGCCTTCCTGAACTCGCCCCGCTCTACCTCGGCGTTGTTTGGCATTGGCGCGAGATATAAACGTTTCGACGAGCCTGGATATTTGTCGTCGCTCGTCGAATCTTGAACAATGTTAGAAGACGCCGCGCAATGCATGTCAGTACCGCTTACCGCATAACCTTTTCTTTTCCTGTATCGATGACTGCGGTTATATCCGGAATAGTGATTCCTAGGCGAATTAGAAAGTGATTTGATGCAAAAGTGGTTTTGCGCCAGCTTACCAGTTTCGGCAATGTTTGTTGCAATCACAATTTTCCTCATCCCTTTTGGTGGAATCAAAAACGCCCTCTCCTGGTCCTCGCTCGCTATCGACGAGTGTAAAGAATGCACGATCCATCCATCTCCAAAAAAGGACTCTGAGAGAATGCTATCATGTAGCCTCCGTATCTCCGCCAACCCGGGCATGAAAACCAAAACCGCCTTACTATATCGCTCTAGTTCAGGTTTCGTCGCGATAGCGTAAATCAAGTCCAAAATAAGTTTGTAATCAAGGCGGTATTCATCAAAGGAACAAACGGCGTCTCTAGTTTGTTTACTGTATCCGGCCAATGTTGAGCGTACTCCTTCGTCAATTCGAACCTCTTCAACGTCAGAAGATTCACTGTCGTCTGTATAGTCTAGAGGTTCCTTTTTATGTGAATAATGCCTTGTCAGCTCAATTGCATCTTCTAGATAGTTAGTTTGGACGGCGAAAGTTCGACCTGGAATATTTAGAACCGGTGCGCCATCGAGGTATGCAGAAAGCCTCTTTGCGTCAACAGTTGCGGACATGAGGATCAGTTTCAAATCCTCCCGCTGAGACAATAACCGACGAATTATGATTAAAAGGAAGTCACTATCAATTGTACGCTCATGGACCTCGTCTAGGACTAGATGAGTTATATCTTTAAACTCCTCAGGTTTTTCAAGCATCCTGATGACTACTCCGGTAGTTCTAACTCAAACGATTAGTCTGCATCAACAAACACAAACGGGAACGATTCACTTACGCATATACTAGCCTCGTAGACGTTGTAACCTTGCTTTCTAGTCTAATTGCGTAGCCAACGAGGGAGCGTTTCGTTCCAACAGCATCCTTTGGTTCACCCAGTTCTTCACTAACTCTCTTCGCAAGTGATATCGCCGAGATCCTTCGGGGCTCTGTCGCAAATATCTTGCAAGGGCGACCTGCTGTAAGCTCATTCTCGAGGATAAAGGAGGGTATTTGTGTACTCTTCCCACTACCAGTCTCACTACAGATGATGAGAGTTCTGTTGGTCAAGAGGGTCTCTAGTATCTCCTCCTTGAACGGCCATATAGGAAGAGTTTTTCGAGCTATCATCATTTGTTTGAAGGACGTCGTGGATGACCGATCTGTCCACAAACTCTGGCAGTATTGTGCTGAAGTTAAGAATCCCGCACCTTTCCGCTGGGGGCTTTCCTCTGCATTGGATCTTGCATCCCCATTCCGCCGTTTGAAGTTTTCAACTAGTACGACGTCTTCATCGGCTTGGTTTTTGATCTGTTGAACAATACCTTTCAAGTTTCTCACGATTTCCTTATCAATATCATCATCATACTCTTTTTTCTGATTGGACATTTCTTCCCACACATCTCTCCATACTCCAGGCAGTCTCATCGACACTCTGTTTTCCCTCGGCGACAAAGCAGTGAGAGTAAACAATGCCACTACCGAGATATAGGACTCCGCTTGTAGTGCGGTGGCTGCACTTACAGAATCCATGGACGCTTTTAGAGAACGGGAACTGAAGCTGTAGCTTACGTCCTGTAATGGGAACTTGGGTGGTGCCTCTTGGGTTTTAGACCAGAATATCTCAATGGATTTGCGGTGAGAGTAAGGTGTGCAGGACAGGTCCCTGTAAAATAGCTTGAACCCTGGATCTCTACCGATGTTGATGGTTAGCACGTATTAAAAGAGAAGAAGCATGGCATTCAAACCTCGATCTGCATGTTTCTTCCAGGATGCGTCGCGGACTGATTCCAAGTGGTTTACCAAAATCGCGTATTTTAACCGTGGCACTTTCACTACCAGGCTTATCGGCGGGTGTTGCTTCAAGGGTTGTAGTGTCCGCCGTAAACATATCCCCCAAGATACCGTCATCGTTATCGCTGTCAAATAAAGTCGGCTCAGGGCTTTTGTCGGAGGGCACTATGGTGACTGCGGCTTCCCCGTCCCTAATCAATAACGCCTCCGGTTGATGCTCTGCTGCTCCCAATCCTCGGCGCAGCGCTTCCGACGTTTGGGAGCGTAATTCAGAGAGCTTATCTTTCCATCTTGCTTCTGCCACTTCGGGATCGAATAAGATATCTTTTTCAACCAATGAGAGTTTACTCTTTAGTTTTTCTATTTGAGCATTGATAGTAGGATCCGTTATACTTGAATTTACCCTCTTGGAGTTTGCCCTGAAAGGATTGAAAAAACTTGGATTAAGGTAATAGATACGCGACCGGAGCTCTATAAACCGAGGTATCAGGTTTTCTGGGTCAAGATCTGTGTCAGATGCCTCGGACTCAAAGGTCGCTTGGGCACTAAAGTTCGTAGGACTCTTCCTAGTCCTTCTCCTAACAGGAGTGCTACTTCCAGAATCTGGAGGCGGTACTTCATTTTCGTCTGTCCGTTTGTTAGCATAACCTTAAGTCGAAGCTGAAAAGAAAAGCCCGCACCGATTTGAGCGCCCATTCGAGCTGGAGTTTTTGATTGGTCATATGGCGGCAGCTCGTCGTTTGCAGAATGCAGTGCTAGCCATTCAAAGGCTTGGTACACACCCCACGCGAAATCCTTACTTGACGCTGCGTCAGAAGAGCAGTGTAAGAGAATCCCTCCCAGTGCTTCATCAACCTGGTGCTCCGAAAACCCGAGTTTTAATAGGGTTTGCTTGAGCGTCCACAAGTTCATGCACAAGTCCTCTTCGTTCGCCATAGAATTGAAATTCTCATCGAACTTAAAGAAGGACGGCAGTTTTTCAACTTCTTTGGTTTCTTTTTCAAGGATCATATCGCGGATATCTGGAGTTAACCAGTCTCGGGTGTCAAGGCCCACCCCTTGAGCACGCAAAGTGCGACGCTCTGTTTCGAGCTTTCCTGCCTGGCGAGAAGCTTCGCTCTTACATTTCCCTGCATATTTGTCTAGAAATGATTGTAATTCAGCCTCTTCAAGGTGTTTTTCCAGCTCCTCCGGCGAGAGCTCTGCCAGAGAAGTTTCAGCTTGCCTGTTTTCAGGCTGGGCGACTGTGCTTTCAGCTTCGACTCCAGTAGGTAGGATATCTGGCTTTGGCAAAGCTTCAGTGCTGGTACTTTGTGATTTAGATGGGATTGAAACTGTTGTGAATCCCCTGGCAGGGTTAGAAGCAGGCTTCTTTTTCTTGCGATGAGGCGCCATCGTCAGATGCCGATGGCGGTCTATAAGTTGAAAATGGCACTGGCGAAGAGGGAAAAAGCACTAAAAAGGGCAAGCAAGGAGGAAAGTGAGCAAGATAAAACAGCTACTCTGTAAAAGCAACAACGATGTATGAAGTGAAGTTGAAGTGCGAAGTGGGTGATATGTAGTTCGTTAGTCCAAGGTGGGCGGAAGATCCACCACTCGCGTTTTGTCACTAACTTTCAAATTCACAACAGAACAAACACATATCAAAAACACCACCACGGGCGACCTCACGCCACAGCATGTAGCAAGGACATGCAACCATGGATGAAATCAGATGGAATGAGGTGAACGATGGCACACTGGACTCTTTGAAGCCAGTCATTTTGTCTGGGTCTACGTCTCGGCGCCGTGCTGGTCTTCATGAACTTCACGAGAAAATCCTCTGTAAGTCTAATTGCGCGGGGTTGGCTCTGCTCAACATTTCACTGATTTTCTGGAAGCGCACGAGTTGCCGAAAGAACTAGATAGGCCTCTTCTCAATCTCCTCTTCGGAACCTACCCTATCTACATTGACCGAGATTCCCGCCGAGATGCGCAGCGATGTATTCGCGATATCTTTCGAGCTCCAATATCATCCGTCGACCTCAAGGATTTCGCGTGCAGGCTCCAGGACGAGTGCTCTAAATCGACTATCGCTGCTGCCAATGCCTTCGTTCTCATCGAATGGTGCACTTTGTTTCTACAGCACCTGAGCCAACGTGGGGTGGAAAAGCTTGAGGATACGACGCAATTGGCGGTCAATGTCCTGTCTGCAAACTCAAAAGCACTAGAGACGTGTTTACGTTCCTCTAGGAAGGAAGGATTGAAACACTCCGCGGTTATCGTATCTAGACGTGCTTTGCGGGCGGTTTTGTCAAAGGAGGACTACGGTAATGAGGTGGTGCGGCGACTTGTCCGCCAGCTTACCGCCGAGGGCGCGTTAGGATTCAGAAATGCGCCTTACCTAGGCGTTTTATCCGGTGTTTGCGCAAGGCTCCCTAAAAGGAAACCCATTTTGGAGGAGATGAAAGCGGACGTTTTCAAATTTTACATCAAGGATGTCCTGGGTTCGCGGACAGTGGTTCCCAGGCACATTGCCGATGGCCTAGGAGATTTTTTCAGCACCTATACCTCTGCGGAAGATCTCCAAAAAGAAATATGGCCGGCCGTTGAAAAAGCTATATTGAGGAGTCCGGAGGTGGTTTTCGCCGGGATTATTCCGTCTCTCGTTTCTGGAATTCCACAAGAATTCGATTTATCCGAAATAGTCTTCACACGACTTATAAAACCTCTCCTTGCAAGCTTGAAATCCGCCAATTTTCCAGTCAGGCAGGGTGCGACCAAAGCTTTTGAAGCCTTGATTGCCAGATGCAGCGAAGAGACGTGGCTTCTTAAAATCGTCGATGAAATTATTCTTCCATTGAGAACCTCAAAAATATCAAATGCTGAACATCGTGCGCTCCAAGCACAAATCCTGACCGCTCTTAATTGTTTTCCGGAGTTATCTAACAAGGTTCTCTCTGGCCTTTCCCCCGTTTTTGCCCGTGAAAGCAATGAAGTCGCACTTGAATCTGAAATACAAGCCTTCTGTCACCATCTAACATATCTAATACGTTCCCGATCTGCGATTAGCAAAGACCATTTTGCCGTTGTTACTAAAGGCTGCGGCGAGAAACGAAGTTCTTTTCGTAAACTCTGGATTTCTCATGTTGGGGAAGTAATTTGGAATCTCGACGGTGATTCCTTAGTTTCTTCATCCAATATGAAAATGGAGTTTTTGAAACCAGTGGCTGATAAATTTCTACTTTCCTATGATGAAATAACCGCAAATCCACTGCCTGCGGTTCAAGGAGGAACGATTCTAATAGCCTATGTCCTCTTGGCTCTGTCATGTCAAAACCTCCAAGGAGTGAAGCTTGATAGCGGCGATTTACTTGTCAATAGTGATGATATTATCAGCCAGGCCTTGTCATGGTCTTCCAAGCAGTCTTTCCTGCTTAACCCCAGGGTCTTCTCAAAGCTGACTTCGAAGAATGAACTCATATGGAATATTCGCGCTTTATCCAACGTTTCTACGCAGCCCGCCTTTCAGAATGTAGATCCAAGCGTAAGAGATGCTTGGGCACAGGCATTTATTTATGTCATTGCTGCGGCTGCTACTCCTACAAAGGTTCGAGAATTCGCTGTTGCTCAGTTAACCCGTTGCTATTTCAAGAGTCCACAGATGATTGGGTCCACCGTCATCAACGGGATATGGAAATGGCTCCTTGCGGTCGATACGGGAGACAGAGATTCAGCCGCATTCAGTGCAGCAACTGGCCGTGATAAACTTTTACTCGCAATTAGGGCCATCGTTCCGCCTCCTTCGGAAACACCAGGAGATGCTATGGATCGCTCGATCCTCGATCCGCAGTTAATTGAACTCTTAGTCTTATGCCGTCCAGAGCTGATTCCTAAAGCTAACTGGATAGATATCACCCTGCGGGCTGGCTCAGACCCTGGTAAAATTGCTGAAAATTACCCTCAAGAGTGCATTTCACAGATTCTCCTTGCCACCGAAGTGAGTTCCTAGCGACTTATTGCGTGAATCACCAATCCGCGATGCTAACGCTCCTTTTTCTATAGGATCCGGTCCGAGTAGAACTATCTAAGGGAAGGAATGCGGCGTGGAGTGCTGCTGCGGACCTCGCTTTTGTTGCCCCCGACGTTATGATACCCAAACTGGTCAAGCAATTCAAGGAAGATTTGAGCGTTGAAAGATTCACCGAGTTCGGGCCGATGGATATTGCAATTGCACGACATCCAGAAGGTACCGTTTTCATTGATGTTCTCAGTACCAAAACAAAACAGCTACCAGGAAAGGGAGATAAAGATTATGACACCCTAAAATGGGAGGAAGAACTTCGAGCTGAAATGGCTCAAAAACGAGGTCAACAGCAGAAGAAACTTACTGCAGAGGAACAGGCGAAACTGAAGGCACAACTTGCAAAGGAGACTGAAATTAGAAAAAACGTTAAATACCAGGAACAGATCATTCGAAGAGGAGCGGGTATCATTGAAAACCTTGCTAGGGGTCCATCGACCGAAACAAGCAGATGGATAAACCCTGCAGTCAGCGCCTTGCAAAGACTTATTCGAGCTGGCGCCGGTGCATTGGTTGGTAGTAGTATCGCTGAAGCCTATATTTCGTGCACCAGCCGAATTTCCAGTCGCTTAGAAGAAATCCGGCCTTTCGTTGGAATCGCTACCCTTCGTTGCCTAGGAAGGACTTACTTACCCTCTGAACTCGAAGTTGAACCGCTGGGAAGTACGTCTTTTTAGATTCTCAAGTATTCTGTCAAATAAGAAATTTCTAACGTGTTTTTCTACAGGTCTTGTGACTCGAATTCTCTATCGAATTCGGCTTGCTTCTGAGCAGCGGCCATTTGATGTTGTCTCCTTCGGCATTGTACTTCAATTAATCATTGTTCTTCTTGAAAAAGATGGTGTTGAAGAAACTGCGGAAAGCCGAGGGGAACAGGTTCTTCTCGCGCTAGAGTTTCTCTCGATCCATGCCAATCTATGTATGAAACCAGGACCCAATGGGTGTGAAGAGATTCTAATTGTTTTTGTTTAGTTTCCGATGAGAGGCTGCCAAGAGCCGAGGTCTTGCGGAAACTGATCTCTGCAATGCGAATTCATGCTGAACATTATAAATTGATGAGAGATCTTCTTGTCGATATTTGCCGTTCTATAACAGATAATGTCCAACCGGATGAACTCACCGTTCTCCTTCAAGGGGTCATAGTTCCAGAAGCATCGGTTCGAACCGCCGTTTTGCAGGCCATCGAGACTGAGATAGACCTAACAGATCTTGACTTTTCTGAGTATATCTGGTTAGGTTGTCACGACCATGTGGATGAGAATTCTGAAATATCCAAAGCCATATGGGAAGAGAATGCTTTGGAGGTTGATGAGAACTCGCCAGATTCCCTTCTAAAATACCTTGGTAGCGCTGATTCGCAGTTACGCAGCGCGGCGGCAGAAGCACTCGCCCATGCTTGCGAAGTCGGAGCCTCCATTTTCTCTGCTACTATGGAAAAGCTCGAATCTCGGTACCGCGATGAAATCAAACCAAAAGCCCCGGAGAAAGACGCCTACGGCATGCCAAAGAAAATGGAAACACCGGACAATTGGGAGCTGCGAAGCGGCATCGCTCTCGCACTCAAATCCATGGCTCAGGGTTTTCATGGAGATCAAATTGTTTCATTTCTGCAATTCCTGATCAACGATGGCCCACTAATTGATCGGAATGCGTCAGTTCGGCGGCAAATGGCTGAGAGCGGGAGTGCAGCGATTACTTTGCATGGACAGGAGAAAGTGGAAGAGTTAATGCAACTTTTCGAGAAGACCTTGGAGACATCCGACAAAGCGACCGAACAGTCAGACTGGCTTAACGAGGCTGTTATTATCTTATATGGTTCACTTGCGCGCCATCTCAAGGCAGGGGATAAACGTTTGCAGACAGTGATTAGGAAACTCCTGGAAGCTCTTTCCACTCCATCCGAATCCGTTCAATTTGCGGTATCTGAATGCTTAACACCTCTTATTCGACTCTCGTCATCAGAAACTACTACTTACGCAGAAGAGCTGATGGATCAACTTTTGCACTCAAAGAAATATGCCACACGAAGGGGTGCCGCATATGGGTTAGCAGGCATTGTGAATGGAAAAGGCGTATCTGCTTTACGCGAATTCCGGATCATGCCCCGACTGAAAGACGCGTCTGAAAATAAGAAGGATCCGAACGAAAGACAAGGCTCACTACTCGCTATTGAGCTTTTGTCTGTGATCCTCGGCCGATTGTTTGAGCCATACATCATCCAGGCAGTACCTCAATTACTGACTGCTTTTGGTGATCCTAGCATCGATGTTCGAGATGCATGTTTAGACGCCGCCAAAGCATGTTTTGCAAGCTTGAGTTCATATGGCGTGAAACAAATTCTACCAACCCTGTTAGAGGGATTGGATGATCAACAATGGAGGAGCAAGAAAGGTGCCTGCGACCTTCTTGGTGCTATGGCGTATCTTGACCCTCAACAACTCGCCGTCAGCCTTCCCGATATCATCCCTCCTCTCACCGTCGTGCTCAACGACAGCCATAAGGAAGTCCGCAATTCTGCGAACAGGAGTCTTCAACGTTTTGGCGATGTCATTAGCAATCCCGAAGTGAAAAGCCTTGTTAACATTTTACTAAAAGCTCTGAGTGATCCCACGAGGTATACGGACGAAGCACTGGATGCCTTGATCAAAGTGTCTTTTGTCCATTATCTAGATGCGCCGTCATTGGCGCTCGTCGTGAGGATTCTAGAGAGAGGTCTTGGTGACCGCTCAACGACGAAACGAAAAGCTGCTCAGATCATCGGCAGTTTGGCTCATCTTACGGAACGGAAAGACCTTACCTCACATCTACCAATCTTGGTTGCTGGTCTCAAACTCGCGATTGTCGACCCGGTTCCTACTACACGTGCAACAGCTTCTAAGGCTCTTGGTTCACTCATCGAAAAGCTTGGAGAAGAAACATTGCCAGACCTGATTCCAAGCTTAATGACGACCCTCAAATCAGACACTGGAGCGGGAGATCGCCTAGGTTCTGCTCAAGCCCTTTCCGAAGTTCTTGCCGGGCTCGGCACCTCTCGTCTCGAAGAAACGCTGCCATCGATCTTGCAGAACGTGTCCAGCTCGAAGTCCGCTGTCCGAGAAGGGTTCATGTCATTATTCATTTTCCTTCCCGCTTGTTTCGGGAACAGCTTTGCTTCATATCTCAGTAGGATCATTCCTCCGATCTTATCGGGCTTGGCCGATGATGTGGAAGCAATTAGAGAAACTTCTCTACGGGCTGGTCGCCTGTTGGTCAAGAATTTTGCGACTAAATCCATTGATTTATTATTACCTGAACTTGAACGAGGTCTTGCGGATGATAGCCACCGTATTCGACTTAGCTCCGTTGAACTTGTGGGAGATCTACTGTTTAATCTCACTGGTATAAATACCAAGGGGGAATTCGATGAAGAGGATGATACTGCGGCCCAAGCCGGTCAATCTCTTCTCGAGGTGCTTGGTGAAGATAAGCGAAATAAAGTGTTATCTGCACTCTATATATGTCGGTGTGATACTTCAGGTCTCGTTCGCAGCGCTGCAATCAACGTTTGGAAGGCTTTGGTTGCAAGTCCACGGACTCTCAAAGAATTGGTACCGACGTTGACCCAACTCATTATCCGTCGCCTTGGAAGCGCGAACATGGAACAGAAGGTCATTGCCGGCAATGCATTGGGTGAATTGATTAAGAAGGCGGGCGAAGGAGTTCTTTCAACGCTCTTACCATCGCTCGAAGAGGGCCTCCTATCCTCCACCGAAGTTGACGCCAGGCAAGGCATTTGTATTGCTCTCCGCGAGCTCGTTGTTTCGTCATCCGAAGAATCTCTCGAATCTTATGAAAAGATTCTTATCTCTATTGTCCGAACGGCACTACTAGACGCTAATCAGGACGTTCGCGAAGCAGCCGCAGAGGCTTTCGATGCTCTGCAACAGGCTTTAGGTAAACGCATCGTCGATCGCGTATTACCGGATCTCCTTAATTTGTTGCATACGGACGCCGACGCTGATAGGGCTCTTGCCGCTCTTCTTACACTTCTCACTGAGAATACTCGGGCCAATATTATCCTCCCCAATCTCATTCCAACCCTTCTTGCGAACCCAATGACCGTTTTCAACACAAAGGCCCTGGTTTCTTTAGCTGAAGTCGCTGGCGGTGCTCTCACTCGACGATTGCCCAACATCTTGAACACCCTAATAGATAACTCCCTTTCAGCAAAGAATGAAAGACTGCGACCCGAAATCACCAACGCTTTTGACGCGGTCCTCAATTCAGTGGACGAATTTGATGGATTAAATGCGGCGATGAGCGTAATGCTTACACTCATGAAACACGAAGACCATCGCAAACGCGCAGCTGCTGCAAAGCGTTTGTCGTCGTTTTTCGCCAAGACCACCCTCGACATCTCTCGTTACTATCCTGAATTAATTCGCGTGTGCCTTATATCATTTGATGATTATGATAGAGACGTTGTGGCTGCGTCTTGGGAAGCTCTTAGCCAGCTAACATCGCACATGAGAAAAGAGGAAATGGAAGTATTGGTGGCTCCAACGAGGCAAGTCCTTCGACAAACGGGCGTTGCAGGGGCGGATCTTGCGGGTTTCTGTTTGCCCAAAGGAATCAGTGCCGTTCTCCCGATCTTCTTGCAAGGGATGTTAAATGGGACTGTTGACCAGCGGGTGCAATCCGCCCTAGCTATCGGGCGATATCATCGACAGAACCAGCCCAGACTCCCTTAAACCGTTTGTGACCCATATCACTGGCCCGCTGATCCGAGTGGTATCGGAACGTTCTGTGGATATCAAATGTATGACCCCAATTTCTAGTTGTTGAACTACCAACCTAACAATAAATACAGGTGCCGTTTTCTTGGCTATCAACAAGCTGCTGGAGAAGATACCGCTGTTTGTCAAACCATTCCTGCCTCAATTGCAAAGAATCTTTGCCAGAGGATTAGCGGATTCAACTAGCGAAATACTTCGGTCAAGAGCGGCTAAGGGCTTGGGAATCCTTATCACATTAACTCCTAGAGTTGATCCCCTTATTTCAGGTAAGTTCTATTAATCACTTTACTTGGTATGAATCTCACACCATTGTCAGAGCTTGTTGCTGGTTCCAAAACGACGGATTCGGGTGTCAAAAATGCAATGCTCCGTGCCTTGCATGAGGTTGTTGATAAAGCAGGCAAGAATATGAGCGATGCATCCAAACAAACGATACTTGATCTTGTCGACGAGCAATCGAATGATCGCGATGGTATGTTTTGTTCGGCTGCTATTTTGGGAGTGGGACTAATTCATCACAGACGCCACGAACATCACCAATGCGCAGCTTGTTGGTGCGCTTATAAAGGCTCTTCCAGAAGCCAAAGCTGTGCCTCTTATCAAGTATGTTGATCGCCATTATGCAATCATAGTGCTAATCGGTGGTTAGAAATCGAGTCCTTACCACGCATTATACTCATCTATCTATCCTCGCACTCAATTCTATTTTGGCTGAGTCGCCAAAATCAATTAGTGACGACTTCCCGGATGAGACTCTGTCAATTATATGCGAAGGTATCAAAAATAAGGATGTATGTACATCAGCACAAACAAACTGTTTGATACTTACTTCGCATAGGTTTTCATCGCCGAGAATAGTGTCCTTGCGGCCGGTAAATATCTCTTGACAACAGACATTGATCGAGATGCCGAAACGGACAGGGTAGTACTAGACGCTTTGGCGTCGGTAATACCTCCTGGTAATCCGGCAGATATCCGTCGTGTGGCCTTGGTCGTCCTCAGGACAGTTAGCCGCCTTGAACCTGATCTTGTTGGGCCACATCTTTCTCTGCTAGTACCGCCTGTGTTCTCTAGCGTTCGGGACCTTATTATCCCAATCAAGCTTGGTGCTGAGGCAACTTTCCTGGCGTTGCTCCAGGTGGTGGAGGCAGGGGGGGTTATTTTCGACAGGTATATCCAAGGACCTGGGGCAAACCTTCCGATGCCAACAAAGCGAAGCATGCAAGACTACTTTAAACGTGTTGCTGTACGGCTAGCAACTCAAGCTCGCGAACGAATAGACGCAGAAGGCGGTGCTGGAGGGTTGGACTTAGCCAGTGATGAGGCTGATGATGAAAGGGAACTCTGGAGCGTAGGAAAGGTGGATCTGGGCGATTTCTCTGAGGATTAAAAGGTAGCTGTGCAAGAAGGCCAGATGTAGTTAAATATCATACAAGAAGCAGCCCAGGCGCCTTTGTACATACATATCACAGCCAGCCCGACCTGGAGGTCTATATTTCCGTTTTGGGTAAGGCGGCTCAAAGCCCTAACTTGTGGAATTTCGCCTCGCTTAGCATCACCCCGCTTAGTAATCGGCTGTGACAAACCCTGTTCCACCCACATCCTCACTTGTTGGCGATGTCGAGATTCGAACAACCATCCATCGACAAAATCGGCTATCGACTTTAACGGCATCAAGATGTAAGTCTGCTCGTTATATGGCGACATTCTTGCGCCAAGCTCTACGTCTTTGGAATGTACCTGGTGGTTTGCCTCCACGATGAAATTTGAAAGTGGTTTTGGCAGCGACAAGCAAATTTCGGAGTTTGGCTGACATCTCTGGCGCTTTTCTTATTGAAACAGGGTCAACCTTCGCACTCAGAAGCGCCTGGCCGCTGCCGTCGTCGGCTGCGGAAAACGCAAGATCTGGCTTGATCCCAACGAAGTCAACGAAATCTCCACCGCCAATTCCCGCCAGACCATCCGGAAACTCATCAGCGATGGCCTCATCATCCACAAGCCCGTTACCATGCACTCCCGTGCCAGAGCCCGTGAACTCTCAGAAGCTCGCAAAATCGGCAGACATCGAGGGTTCGGTAAGCGAAAGGGTACCAAGGACGCCAGAATGCCAAGGTACGTGGGAATCTATGTCGATATTCGCTACGCGATTGGGATCGAGCAGCAGATGCGTTTGCTATGAAATATTCGTCTTGGCTTTTGTAACTAATATATTATCTGTACAGCCAAGTTCTCTGGATGCGCCGCCTCCGTGTCCTCCGTCGACTTCTCGCCAAGTACCGTGCCTCCGGCAAGATTGACAAGCACCTTTACCATGAACTGTACCACCTGAGCAAGGGTAACACCTTCAAACACAAGCGTGCCCTTGTCGAACATGTACGTCTTCTATTAGACCCGGTTTTCCAATCTATCATCCAGTTACCCTCTTTCGCCACCTACCCAGAGCTGTCGCCCAAAGGGAAACCTGCTAATATTTCATTTACAGATCCACAAGGCCAAGGCCGAGAAGCAACGTGAACGTGTGCTTAAGGAAGAGATGGATGCCAAACGTGCCAAGACCAAGGCTGCCCGTGAGCGACGACAAGAGCGCATCGCTGCCAAGAGAAACGCTCTTGCTGGGGAGACTGAGGAGGCCTAAATTCAGTGTCTTTGATTTAATTTTTCCTTATCAACATTATGGGTCAATGGCAAGGTTTTTCATTTTGATGAGCACAGCAAAACGAAACGTTTTATGCATGGAGCATTTGCCGTTTATTTTTTTCAAATCCATCTCCAGCCGATCCCTCCTTCGTTTCATCTCTTTCTTCGATCCCGAGCGAGCGAAGAAGAGGAACTGCAGGATTCTCAAATTGAGAATGTGGGGAGTGTAGAGGGAACAGCACCTATGAATGGGATATGGAGCAAAAAACTCAGGCTTAGGAGTATTATCGATAAGGAAATGTCAAATGACAAGACTCTGAAATCAATTTTTGCTCTGTGCATGATGCCGTCTAGCCTTTATGGCCCCTAACAAACCAGGACATAGAAACCATTGTCCCCTCAATGAGCCTTGGGACCTTGGACATGGTTTTCTATTTAAGCATGGCATAAAAGACTTCACTGTGAAGCCACCTCGGGCCAGTAAAAGTGTAGCAACTCCGAATTGGAACCTCCAGCACGAGAACCACAAAGAACAGCAAAATAGGTAAGATGATATTGCGGGCAATCAAAATTTTGATCTAATTCGACAAAGGCCGACAAATGAGCACTAGTTGCCTTGCGCAACGAATAGATACAATGCCCCCCAAGCTCTAAACGGGCGACAGTTCACAATCGTCCTTTGCTTCTCGCAAATATTCTTCCTCGTCTACCGCAAGGTCGGATATGGACTGGAGGAGATCAAAGAGATCACTCCTCCGATTGGTCAAGTCGGGTCCCGCGTCGCGGACCCTGCGCCAGCGGGACAACACCGACGCTGTAGCATGCAGTGGCGTCCTAGAAGATAGACTATTGCTCGCGCTCCGTCCAGGAAGCACGATAACGCTACTGCTGCAACTCCGCGTATGTGTCGGTTTTGGGGACTTTCCGTTATCTCGACGGGGAAGAGTGTTACTCATAGGGATCTCGAGCCTGAATTCGTCAGGTAAATCGAGGGACGGGCTTGGTATAGATCTGCTAATTCGATGAAAACGCTCGGAAAGAGAAGATTTATTCGATTCCATCGACAAGCTTCTACTTGGAGTCTCCCCTACCGTGGTGAGGGAAGTTCGAGAGGGGTTTGGTGTCTGAGGACTACTTTGCTCAATACCGCAATTTCCAGAGTCGTAGCGCGTTTTAGTGTTCGGTAGTGGGTGCCCTTCTTTATGTGGCTCAAGGTTTGTTGGCATCGTCCTCGACGTTGGAATATCTCCGCTAGTTTGTAGGTCGTTCCGCTGGGATAGTAGAAACTAAAGTTGAGGCGATACGCATATATGCTGTAGTAATTCCGGCCCACGTTGTGATGACGATGAGTTCGAATCGTGTTCTTCTTGTTTGAACATTTTGCGAGACGGTAAGGGCCAGCAGAACCAGCGTTTGTGGGCTTCATTAGAGAACACCGGCGCAGATGCCTTTGGCTCATTCAAGCTGTACCTCAAAGTCCGGCTTGTAGCTCGTCGCCGAGAGTAGAGATACAGTGCCAGAGAAATAAGAGCAAAAACCATTGCGCCCACAGTGCTAGCAACAATTGCTATTAGTCTCAAGCTATACTCTTGCTTTGGGAGACTTCCCCCCAGTGACCCGGATTCTCCTCCAGGAGCAGATATGGATGTGGCCATGGCAAGTATTGACAGTAACTAAAGGGCCCAAATGAGTCAATGAAAATATCTAGCACTTGTGATAATGCTATATAGCAGCACAATGGCGTGCTTGCGAATGCGCCAAGGCATAAATAAGTAAGAGTGTTCTACGTGCACGTAGAGCTCGCGGACCTTGAAGAGATCATCGTAATAAGGGCAGGAACCTGGCGGTTGAATTGCGGAATCATCAAGACGGAATAGAAACTGAATATCACGGAAGTAAGGATATGCTATAAAGAAGTGAATGTTAAACACCCGAGATGATAGGGGACACGGATAGCCGCAGTTCGATCGGCTCGTGAGACATAGAAAGGCATCGCCCTTTGAGCTAAAAGAGGAGACAGCAAAGCCGAGCATCCCAAGCGGGGCGGGAGCCATGGAGTTTTGTTTCAGGTATGATATTTTCTACATCCAGCAACCAAGCACGTGGGAGAAAGCCATCACAAGGTGGGAATATTCAAGAGTATGTTAAGTTCAACACCGACTTGTCGTCAGTGTCAGCAAGGAGACTGCAGAATGGCCTATCCCGCAATTGCAAATCAAGGCCACTCAAGTTCAATATGCAAAAGCGGCTGCATACAAACGAGGAATAGGACGACAGTAGGCGGGTTCGAAGAGCTGGTTAAGGGAGACAATCCTGCATCTGGATGCAGCCGGGCCGCGTCCAACGGCAAGGCAGCGGGATCGAGCATTAGCGAGTGACCAAGTGAGAATCTCCCCATGGATGAGCTCTGTTCCTCCATCAGATGTGGCTTTGGTGAGTGTGCAGTGCAGGTGAAGAAGAAGAAGCGAGTCGTTTGAAGTTGAGATGGCCTGCTACGGCGGGCCCAACGGGCCAGCATGGCATCCTTCCGAAAACGGCCTGGCACCTTGATGCCTAACTGCTCTGGGGACAGCGCACTTTTTATGTGGGGCGGAGAGGGCGGTCCGGCTTTAGTCCGATGAAGCTAGCGGGGTACTTTCTCCGCAATGACGAATATTACCGCGGAGACACGCCTCCATTGGCCAATGGCCCGTCAAGCGGGTTTTGGTACCGCGGTAAGTTTACGCAAGCTCCGTTCTCGGCCAAATCGGGCACTTTGTCCCAGTCCGGCAGCTTTGTTGTGTTGCGCTGAAATTATCGCCTGTTGATAGTCGTTATCCATATCATTTTCTCTTCAGTGCAGGCTGTGAATACGAGTCTCACGCACAGGTCGTGGCCATGAGCGGTATTGTAATGTGCGAAGGGACCCATCGCTAAGATTCCGCTCCCATGTCCCTGTATCTGAACAGCATTCCGCTTCATTGATGCGTGGCCGACGCCTCACTATTCTTCCTTGACAGCAGCTCAATGACCGTTATTGGGACTAGGGTCAACATTCCTCCTCCTCCCTGCTGCAATACCTCGTTGCAACTCCTTATATATATATAAAGCCCTGGTTCTGGCCAATCTACCCTCTTTGTCATTGAGTGTACGCGAACCGTTATATCGGCCCATATCTCTGCCTGCCCGCTATACACTCTCAATAGAGGAATCTAATCTTCATTGTTCCCGCCCCTGCAGTCCCCATAGAGGTCTCGCTTGCAGCCATCGTCATGTTTGCTTGGGGAGGTGGCATCGGTGAGTTCAGATGAAAGCCCTATCAACCCGTTTTTTCACACTCCGCAGGCCTACAAGCCCTGACTCCATTCCCATCTCGACTTGGCCCAGCTGCAAGCCTCTCGCTTTGTGTTCGAGACAATCTCGCTTCTGGATTGCGCTTTCGTCTGAAGATAACGTCTTCGTCACGTTTCTGAGCGTGGCTTGGCGCGTGTTGTCCAACCCGTTGGATTTAGGTTCAAGCCTCTCCCGCGGTTTGGTTTGCTCTCATCTCATGTTCGCGATCATAAACCCGCATCACCTTTCTTTTTGATCCCAACTGCTTTTGGCGACCAATGAAATATTGTGGCTGACGGATAGTCGATCTAGCCATCCCTTCCCTTGCCGTTGACGTGGATAAGGAACGAACTCCTCCACCACCTGCCACTCCCCTCGATTTCCCTTCCTACATTGCACATCAGGAACCTCGTCCAGTAGGTGAGCTGAGTTGCGACAAGCTGCATCGACTATTATCAAGACTCAAAAGACCACAAGATTTAACTCGCGAGTTTCTTGACGCCCTCAATCTCAGAGTTGAACCAGATGTTGCACCCGTGGATCTTATACCTGGAGACACCCTGAAATCGCTGCCTCCTTTCAAATGGCCAAACGAATCTGAGCAGCCTGAAGCCTCGGCGAGTAGCCCTGCTGCTGCTGCAAGCAATCTCATGTGCAATGGATCTCCGTTTCCTGACAGGGAGAAGTATGACACGCTGCGACGAGAACTACTTTTCGATAATGATGATGCTTTTCGATCGCTCGCCCGTCTAGAGCCCTTACCTGGCCGCCAGAAAATCCGTGTCGCCCATGCCCGAAAATTTTGGTCGGGTTTAGAGCACATGTCTCAATACTGGGACACGAGCTTAGACCAATACATTGAGCGCCCTACCCACTGTAGCCCTGACGCTACATCTACTCAAGATGCGCTTTTAGGGCCCTCATCCGAGGATAAAATGGATATTGATAGCGACACCTTTGCCAGGAATAAAGATATCAAGTCCGATTCGGCGAATCCACACTCAGACCCCGCTGCTGCAGGCACCACGTACAAGGGTAGGCGTATCGGTACGGGAAAGGATATGCCAGAGACAGCGAGAGAGGAAGCACTACGCGGATTTCTTGAAATGGTGTCCTGGTCCTTTGGTTGTCAGCCTTCGATCCCTTTCCTACCGCCTCGTCTCTTTGTTAAAGGCCTACTCTTTCCTGTACGCCAGAATGTCACGATATCGCGGGCTCCGCAGGATAGACAGCTCGCAAGAAAAGGATTCTTGGAAGGACCCGTAATGATTGTCCAATGCAGGGGGGAAACGGTGTTTCATGCCCCGAACAGTGCTTTCAATCACTCTGAAGCCTGTGATATTCTTCGGGAAACGGCGGCAATGCTACTGTGCGCACAAGAAAGGGGCAGAGAGGGGTGTACGGAGAGTAAGCCTGGTGATGGGAAGTGGTGGGCGACGGAACCAAGATGGGGCGGGGCGCCAAACGACGGGCCTGTTGGAGACGAAGAAGGCGCTCAGTTGGAACGTCGAGGCTCAGCACCCGCCGCAGATGCGAAGAAGAATGATAGTAAACGACCGAAACATGATCGCCATCCCTTTTCACAACGTCGTGGAGGGTCCGGCCAGTCAAGACGGAGAAGTATGAGCGACCAATGGAAGGTGGTTCAACCAGGCCCAGGCCTGTGGGACAAAAAGATGAAATATATGCGAATCGGGAAGCCAGTGGACAGTCCCTTTGATGATGTAGGATTCTTTCCAATCTCCATGTATTCTTTTGCCTAACGCGCAACCTTATAGATCTTCATGGTTTCATCTATCAATCACCACTTCGCGATCCTACGCCTTCGTGTACATGCCAACTATTTAGAGTGGCTAGAGACTGGAAAGGCCGATTTCCCCATCGAGGATGCTGAGCATCCCTGGCACACGATAGTTTTGCGTCGAACTCGGTGGTTCGACCTTTTTAACCCAAATGACCGTATCGAAGGCTTAGACGCCTTGTGGGCAATTTTCGCGTACTTGATGAGGCCCGAAAACCAGTGAGCTCCCGCTGGGCGGCAAAAGATGATAGGAATGATGCGACGAATCCCATGAAATAGGTGTCCTTCCTTCGAAATCTTAGGAGTATGGACTATTACTTCCAGCTGAGCCGTTTAGCTCTTGTCATGATTTATCAGTTTATATTTCGCAGGATCTCTGTCGTCATTTTCTGCTGGTTTACAAAAAAGGGCTACTCTTTGGATCTACGGCTACTACCTATAATTTGGATCTCCATCTTGGATTCTCCCTTTTATATATTTACATATATATTGGAATTTGATATTTAACGATACTACTCTCAATTTATTTTCGCCCAATGACTGATTAACAAGTTGTTAATAGATTTTTTTTTCTTTTTCCTTTCATATAGAAAATGTTCCAGCTGAAAGTTAACTATCGAGGCCGTAACCATGTTGAATTTCAAAGAGTCGATTTCGCGGATAGAAATTTACTGTCAAAGATCTCTGAAGACAACGCCGCAACTCCTCATGCGTATTTGCGTGGGCTTTATTTAACATCGCTTGGATATGGGCGATCCTCGAGTCACCTAGCACCCTTTTCTACGGCCGGCCTGTCCAAACCTTCCTTCGCTATCAGATCTACCCTTATGACTAGTAGACCAACAGTTGACAGCTCTCTAGTCTACAACCCCTTTTGAAAGACCGCTTCCATCAGGTTCCTATATTGGGGAAAAAGGAAATATATTTCGAGACAAAAGAACGCAGAAGCTATTAGCCATTCTCAAGCAATTGCTCAGATTGCTAGTCTTGATCCTTTGTTTTCGCAGGAAATATAAATCGTTCTCAGCTACGATCACCTTTTGAGAGCAGTAACATGTAGAAGAAGATAGGAATCCCTTGGTATACGAATTTGGAGCCAAGTGCAAAAGGAATTTGAAAGCAATTTTCGAGCTAGACCCTCGAGTTCAGTTCCGCAGCTCCAACACGGGGTGTCAAGAATGTCCAAAATAGGGTCCACAAGCGGACTGAGGAGTCTGTGAAGGACCACGAGGCCTGGCAAGATGTCTTTTAGAATTAGAATCTCCTCGGGTCCTCGAATTCAGACGGGATGCCGTTCGAAAAAAAAAAAAAAAAAAAAAAAAAAAAACAAGAATGATCTTGCCCATCCCACCTGCATTCGCATAAATGTCGTCATCTCCGCAATGGTCCTCCTCATTCTCACAGCCCACTTCCACAGCCATCTCCCCATCCCCAAGAAGATTTGGTATCGTCATTGGCATCTGCGACTCGGTTTCTCTCTTCGTTTTGCCCCTCCCTCGTCTCCAGGTCCAGCGCGACCAATCCTGACCGGGATCCACGTCACGAGGGACGAGGGTGAGCATGGAGAAAGGGGGTTTTGGTTATCAATGAGAATGTTTGGGATTATGACCCAGGTGCTGGCAAATCACCCCTCTCTCTCACGTCAAGGGAGAGGAAGGGGGGAAAGTAAAAAAAGGAAAACGAAAAGGACAAGGTGCTGTCAAAGGTGCCTGTGAGTTTGGATATCAAGGGGAAAAAGGGAAAGAGGCGGACGTCCTGAAGATTTCATCATGACAGGCATGATAGCTGTGTGCATATGCATGGATTCCAGAGGGAAAAAAACCCACAAACCAGGGTTGTGGAATCCACTTTATTTTTCCTTCCCCCCTTTTTTTTTTGCCTTGCTGCATCAAGCTGTTCTCCTTATGCCGGTGTCTTGAAGGTCCCATCGCACGGGGCAGGATAGAAGCATGGTGAAAATGCAATGCACCCAGGGTGAATGAAAGATGCATCAATAGGTGCGATGATATGCAGATCAGCAGCAAGCATCCTCCCTCGGCGTTCTCAGCAGGATCAAAAGATATTCCCTCAAAGCAATGTTACACTCTGAATGGAGATCATAGTTTTCTTTTTCTTGCTTTATGGCGGAAGGGAGAAACGGTTTCCCAGCATCCATCGATTCTTATCACAGTGTTATTTGAAGACAAAGCGCCTCATCATTTCCTCCCAGCAAGGGCTCGTGTCAAGCTTTCTATGAAGCTTGCTTGCTCGGGGAAGCAAAGCAGGCCGCCCCGAAATCCAGAGAAATGGAGCTGTAGTCAGTCTCCAGGGAGGGCTGTGGTAAAGGAATGGAAGATCCACTGCGAATCCTGTCTCGCCTGCATGTACGGAGTACGGTACGGAGCAGAGAATACAAAACTGTGGACAAGGCATTCTTGCTCTCAAATCGCATAATTCGAGGAGATGTATGGAATAGATTGACGGGCCCAGGCCTTTAAGGGTGTCTCCACCAGTTTGAACACAAAAGGACCAAGGTTGGTGAGTTATTGATGATTTATAAATTATTCATGTCAAGGTCAGGAGAGCGTGCGAGGTTGACAGACGATAATCAAAGTACCCGACGGGAAAGGCGGAGACAGTGGAGAAATCAGAAAGTCAGCTATAAATGATAAAATCATGAATTATTCTTCGGCATTTGCTCCCAAGCATGATTGAGTTCAGCGTTGAGCAGGGAGAGGAATCCATCGGAAAGACAAGGAACCATATTTATTGGAGAGAACTTTAAAGAATCATGCTTGAGAAAGCACAGAAGAGTTATCCCCCCCGCAAGACTGAAATTGAGGTCATGCCCATACTTGTCGAATCCTGGCTCTTGTACAGTCGAGAAAGCATCAAATCAGCCGGCAAAGCAAAGCTGTTGACGGTGATGATACCTCAAACCAAGTCACAAAAATGCTCCGCATGCACATTGCACACTCGAGAAATTCCCAAAGCCAGGGCCCTGGGAATAAGCTTATATCGAGGCCACCAGTTCTTTTGGTATTTTCTTCGGGTGCTGCCGCCGAAGCCGGATCTTCGACCAGCCCAGATTGATGCCGACAATAATTTTAAGACTGAATAATACTTCCGTAAGCTCAGGCAGTGGCAAAGCGCCAGCTGCCATCAACAAATCCTGGATTCTGCCATTGTTTCTCAACTCTTTTGATCTCCAAGGGTCAGGCCCTTCGCCGATGTTGAGACATACTTTCACCCCCAAGGCTGGTATGGAGATCTTCTGTTCTCAAAACCCCCATGTTTTTTCTTTTTCCTCCTCGCTCACTCTGGCTTCATTTGGTTAGTTGGCGAGGTGGATCTTGCCCGTCAAAGTCTGGGAAAATCGTCGTTGAGCAAAGTCGAAGATTCTGGATGTAGTACGGAGTACGCCGTATTGCTCCGTACCTTCTCTGTGCTTTGGAGGCCCTGGAGCCTGGAGAAAGGACAAACAGATAGAGTCCGATGGCTGGTTCCCTAACTCTGTATTCAAACAACTATCTGGTCTTGTCTCTTGCCCCAGGTTTCTAGAGCTCAGACACCCGGGCTCTTTTTCCTCTCTCGTGTCAAATGTCTGGTGGAGAAGATACGGTCGGGTTGTAACCTGCCAAGGCATGCAACTGGCCATGTAATTTTGAAAGATTGGTACTGTGAAGCTGTGATGGGCGTGGATGAACAGCCACTACATACTTGGACGGTGGAATGCAGTCAATCCTGAACGATGCCGCGAACTCCGTCCGCCAACATTCATCACCATTAATATCTTCGGATCAGGTTTGGAGAGAACTCATCATCGCAGAAAGGAGACAGGTCATCCCACCGCCCTGTGCTGCGTGATTGGCGGATAGATCGTATGGATGGGACTCGGCTCGTAACATGGGGGTTGGACAACCGGTGCCCATGTCTCTGGGACGAAGATTCTGATGTGTCCCACATGATCCATTCGCTTGCGAGAGCTGTTTAATTTCCAAGATGCGCACGTTGGGGGCATGGATAGATTACTACAAGAGATATCCCCCTTGCCTGTCTCAGTCTGTAACGGTGTGAGGAGAGAGTGATCGTATGAAGGAGCGAAATAATAGAAATCACCATCACGAGTGTGCTGAGCAAACGAGACCCGAGCAGAAGGATTGTCCATCACTGGCAAAAAGACGATCCTCACGCTGGGTTCGAGATGTGGTTGAGTCTGCGCACTGAGAGGATGGCACAGAGAGCTGCCATTGGGCGCGAAAAATTGAATTTCCGCTGGTGTTGTGGGGTGCATATACGGACATGATGGCGGCTGACAGGCACTATTGGACCGCTGGTGACCAGTGCTCCAAACGGGGTTGCGGCGTATACCAGCTGGCACAGTCGCAGGAGTGATCCTTGAGACAAGAGGGCAGCAAGAGGAGGAGCAGCAACAAGCAACAGGACATATCTGTTGGTTCTTTGCACCCTGAGCTTTGTGGTGTTATCTGCAGCAGATGCAACTCCGCTTGAGCAACCGTGCGGACAGGGGATGGCTGCTTGGAGAGTCTCCTGATTGGCCATGTTTGTGCGTGATTTTACGAGATTGGTCAAATTTGAAGCTTCGATGGGCTGGCTCACAAGCTAACGGTTGCAACCCTTGGTCGATGAATATCATCCAAAGGGGTGGCGGTGGTTCTGGAAAGGAGAGCGTCCACTGACCGCCATTCGACTGTCGAATCCAGACAGAAGGGTAGAATCATCAGACTCGCTTTGCGGACATCGAACTCCTCGTTTCTCATTTCAGATGTCGCTTCCTGCCGTTCAACCCGTGGTGAGACGATTGGCAGCCAGCGGCTCGAAGCCATGGCGCTGAGCGAGAGTGTGCCCTTGGGTTGATTCCGCAGCTGCTGTGGAATCCTGGAGCTAACGTTGTTTCGGGCAGTTGTTGGTGGACAGAGAGCAAAGTCAATTGACCATCGTCATTGATTGACGAGCTGCAGCCCCGACGCGGTGGGAAGCAGTCCATACTAGTGGCCATGCTGCTCTCTGAATTCCTGCTCACAGTGAGGCTGGGCCCGTCTTCCTTTCAGCCTCGCATCCTCCCGTTGGGTTCACTCCTGCCGCAGCACGCGGTTTGCGCGGTAAAATGCAGGGAGCTGTTGCAGCAATGGAATTGGTCTTAAGCGCCTGAACAACGTGGCTCTAAACCAGGCATTCTTGCGCCTTGTAGCTGGTCTCGAGAGTTATATAATCACTGTTCCAACGGCTTTTGATAGTCCCCCTGCCGGGCCGTTGATCCATCTGATCTGCCCGTTGTAGAGCTTCCCGTCACTGTGGGAGCACGATTCGACAGCCCATGGATCAGCTCAGGCCCGCATGCTATTCGCCCGGCTAGTAGATTGTCACACCATCGCGTCTTGCTCTCTCTCTCTCTCTCTCTCTCTCTCTCTGTGTGTGTGTGTGTGTGTGTGTGTGCGTTCTCCGCCATATATCGTCACCGCCGCTGAAACGCAGGAAAAAGGAACGAGCAGAAGATGACGAGTGTGAAACTGTCAGGGCCTATGAGATTGTCAGCAACGCCGCAGTCGAGAGTCTCGATCGATTGATTTCTTCCCAGGGTGCTTCTGCTGATCAATGCGAGAGTTGAAGCTCGTCGTTGTGGAGTTGAACATCATCCCTCATCGCCATAGCGGCGTTGCCTCGAACTCTCTTCCTCGTCTTCCTCGCCGCTCGTGTTCTATTTTTTCTTTCTTTCTCTCATGATTTCTTCTCTTCTCCGGCAAATCTCGCCTTCAGTCACTGCGCAATCAAGGTTCACCCCGCGACGGCCCTTCCTCCCCCCCAATCCACCCGACTCCATCCTTCCGTGAAGCCGGGCATCAGGATCTTCTCCTCCCTGTAAGTCCTCCAAGCTTCCCAGCCTGACGCACACCCATTGAGCGGACATCCTGGGCTCCTGGGGTCTAAGCCCTTTCTCCTTCGCCTTCGTAACCGTGGTTGACCCCAACTCTGAATCGTGGATCTGAGTTTCGTACCTGACTGCTGGCCTGAAATCTAGTTCGTGAGACGAGCAATTGCTGCAGACACCCTGCCCGTCGCCTGAGCCCGTCGTTTGCTGCCCGTCGTTTGCCCAGACGCCCTTTGCCGTCCGGCCGTCTCAAGGGCGTTCCAACACCGCGTTTTAGGGCTCGAGGATCCTCCCGTTGTGCCCGGCCATTATTTGCCCTCTCCAGGCGCTCCTGCATATCCCAGTCCCTCGCGCTTCGGCCTGTCTGACCACATCGCTCCGCTTCACCGTCCGCTCGTGGTCAAGGAACTGCTCTTAGCCAGAACCTTCGCCTTCCCACACACCACACCCCCAGAATTTTCCCCCAATATACTCGCCTTGCGAATGGCCCAACGTTTCATCCAATGATGACCATGGATTCCGTGACCACGGATGAGAAGCCCAAACCGACAGCTTCGTACTCTGCTCCACATCCACCCCCTCCCTCATCCTCCTCGCTCCCGCCACAGCTCCAGCAGCCTCAGCAGCCACCATCACGCCCGCTGCCTCCGCCAGAGTCTCCCAATACCTTGCCCCCTCCCTGGAGCCGTCCATATCCCCCCTTTGAAGGCGCAAATGCTGCTGACCAGCGCGGCCCATCCGCTTTCACCGGTCCGCCTCGAGAAGCATCGCATCACCCGCATGACATGTATTCCCGACCCAGTGCTCTCTCCGGGCCCTCCAGAACACCGTCCGATCCTGCCTTTCGTCCCATAAACGGTAACTCCCACGAAGGCTCCACCAGTCTTCCGCCCACGCCCACGGCTGAATACCGTCCGCCCTATTCATATGGCCAGTCCAACGAAACCCACGGGAACTGCGAGCCACCCCGCGGTCTGCAGATGATGCCTCCGCCTACGGCGCCCGAGAATATGCAGCCAATTCCGCTACATCGACCGTACGGCCCGGGCACACCGTTGCCTCATGCCCCTACCGCGTACGACGCAAGCTACTTCTTCAGCCAGACGGCCGGACCCTACAACCAGCGGCAAGGGCAGGGGCGGAGGACCACGCGAGCTCAGCAGGTTAATGACACACCCTTTCTTGGAGACAGGACGTCGCATGGTCTATTGCTAATTGTGTGAATAGGCCTGCGATCAGTGTCGTGCTCGGAAAGCCAAATGTGACGAAGGACGGCCATCTTGTGGGAACTGCAAAGGAGGCAATTCTCCATGTGTCTATAAGGATGTTCCTCCTCACAAGTGAGCACCATCTACTGGGCTATCGCGTTGGAAGCAAAAGCTGATCAATCTGGTTTTTTCAGGCATGAGCGCTCGACCCAGATAATATTAGAGAGGCTCCAGCAAATTGACGATCGGTTCGAAAAATTTGATAGTCCTGACAAGATGGACGACGTGATTCGACTATTGACTGCCCAAAACGAGAAACTGGATGCTCTGATGGGAAATTCTTCCCAGACGATATCTTCCAACTCCATTGCTGAACCCGAATCAAAACAACCCCTCTACCACGCCACACCGCCACAACAGCAAAAGGGATCGGAAACTGAGCCAGCAAAGCTTCCAGTGCCAGACAAAGTGGCAAACGACATTGTCAAACAAGAGCAAGGGGACACGCAGCCTGTGGGGGATGACGAGCTGTCCATCCCCATCGAACACACAACTGCCGCCCACAAGCTCCTCTTGTGGCCATCAATACGAGCACTCATACCTGACAGGATAGATGACGATTATGTTATGAAACTCGAAGAGGCGCGCGGCCCCATTCGTCCCTACGGACGGGGCGAGGGATGCGGTAGCATCCGCACCAGCGCATATCCTCTGAGTCCGATTGTTAGTTCGTCCAGCCCGCGTGATGAAGATATGTTCCAATTCTGCGGCTCAGGGTGGGGAACGGGTTTCGAAATATACCAGGGAAATTATTCGTCCAGGGTTCCAAAGGAACGACAGGTTGGAGGGCTCAACAGTGCGGGCGCGCTTGACCTTGATGTGGATGTTGTACATGCATATTTCAAAAGCTATATGGAAAACATGCACATTCTGCATCCGTTTCTCCGAGCTTCAGACCTTGCTAATATGATCAGAGACTTTGTTCAGGCATATAGCCCTCAAAAAAGGGCGCCGTTTAATACTCCCCACTTTGGTCATATTGGTGCTGGTGACCATACAATTTTGAACAGGGCCCCGAAGCGCAAACGATCTGTTGATGTTGCAACTGGCTACAATGAACTTGAATCTCCCGGTTCTGACCACAGCGCAAGCGGCGGTTGCCCGCCCATCCAACGTTCCATGGACAATGCGATTGTGCTTCTCGTTCTAGCCCTTGGCGCCATCTGTTCCTGGAAAGGTGATCTCCCCGGCCCCATCCCTGATCCGCCATCAAAATTATCATACGTGACATCCGCCGCGTCTCCTATAACGGTTGAGCCCGCTATTCAGCCTCCAAACTCTTTCCGTTCGCCCACCAGCCGCTCTCCAAACAATATCCAGCATTGGAGACGATCCGGTAGTTATTCTGGGAGCGATATTTCCGATCCTAACCTGCGGAATATGGACGTCATCCCCGGAATGGCGTATTACGCTCTTGCATCTGACATTCTGGGTAACCTCCAGGGTGGGAATGACTTGGCTCATGCGCAGGGATGTCTACTTGCTGCGCTTTACACTGGGCAACTGGCTCATCCGTTCGTCAGCCATGGATGGATTAGCCAGGCAGCCAGAGCTTGTCTAGTTCTGGTCAGACCGTGAGTACTCGTGTTATGGTAATATTAAATAGCTTTTACTAACGGTCGTAATTAGACGGAGTTTCGAGGTAATGCCTGACGGAGCGCGCAAGGATTTGATTACTTTTGCGTTTTGGACCTGCCTGCAGCTCGAAAGGTGCGTACGGGCATGCATCAACTAAATTTTCTTGTTACTCACGAATTTAGTGATATCCTAGCAGAACTTGACCTTCCCGCCAGTGGCATTAGTCGGCTAGAAGGATGGATGGAGTTCCCCAAGGCTGTGTTCGCGCATTCGATCCCGAATGAGATCGAAGCACCGGGTACGCTTATGATGATGTATTATTCGGCTCAGATTCATTTGAGAAAGGTTTTGAATTCCGTGCATACCCATTTATATAAAGCAGAAAGTAAGTCCTCAATCGGTGATTTTTACGATTCAGAATTCGAGAGGCTGATATGGTACCTGAAGAGACAAGCCGTGGGCAAAAGGGAGCAAAATGGACGACCAGTGTCCACCAGGCCTTGAGTTCAATGCTCGAGTCCTGGCGGTCCGGTCTGCCAGGAGCCATGCAATGGCATGATTCGGACGAGCCCGCCAGTGACATCAACATAGCCAGAATGCGCGGAAAATATTACGGGGCCAGATACATTATCCACCGACCGCTACTGCATCACGCTCTACACCCAATGATACCCAAACCACACAACACCGGTCCTGCAGAATCACCGGCGCCGTCCGTCGCGTCGAGTGCGAATTCGCAAATATCGCCGGCTCTAACGCATGTGCAGCAGGTTGAAACTATTGATCGATGGCCGGGAGACATGCCTCCACCTCCTCGGATAACCACTAGTCAAGATCCGCCGTTTGAAAGGGACCTAGATCCCAAATTACACTCAGCATGTGTGACGTGCATCGAAGCGGCGATGCAGAGCACCATTGCATTTGATAATGTAGAGGGGCGCCCGATTGTGACCAACATTTTTGGAACTGCTCATGCGTAAGTGATAACCGTGGACAGCAGACAGACGCAATGAAAGCTTTATATCTAATTACATTCTCCAAGGCAATTTGGAAATATTCTCGTTCTCGCAGCAACGTACACTTCCCGCCTTTCGAACTTCGTGGACCGAGAAAGGCTCAGACAACTGATCGACCGCACGATTAAATTCTTGCTCCGCAACCGTCATATCTCTCCCAGTCTACGGAGGGATGCGGAAATTCTCACTCAGATTCGCCAAAAGTTGTTCGAACAACCGCCGCACACCACCAGTTTTTCGTCTAACGACGGATGAAAAAGAAATCGCACCCCACTGTTGGATTTTAGCTGCTTTCAGCGTCTCCCTCTCTCACAGCCATCGCCGAAACCTTTGTCAGACATTTTGGTTCGAGGCGTAGTATACTTTGTATATATTTACCTCTATCTCTGCATATGATGCTCTCTCCCCTTTTTGTGTTGGGTCATTGCTCGGAACTCCAAATGGTACGCAGAGGGTACTTTGCATGGGCGGCCTATTGTTGATCTTGAAGCACGTTTTAGCCTTGTTTAATTTCTCCTTTTGATGCGGTGGCTCTTTTTTTCCCTCTATTGTTGGACATCTTTGGAAAATTTCCCTCATATAGTTTTATCTTTCTGGTTACTCCTTGTATCAAAGCGATGACCCTTTCTAATATCTTCTTTTGCTGTTTCTTATTACTACTTTTGCCGTTGGATTTCTCCCCGGCCCAACAAATGAACATAGGTGCCCCTCCTTTTGTATTTGATATGTGAACATACTACGAACTCCTGATAATAGTGAGTTCCTTCATCGCAAGAAGATCGTCTGAGGCCAGCTGTACAGATATCCAGGGTACAGATCACCTGATGGTCAGATGAGCTCCGGTTTGATGGGCAGGGTGCAGTGGGACATGGAGAAGATACCGACATGGGACTTGATTGAGGATAAAGAGATCGTCCCTTAGTTATAATGTATTGACAAAGCATAACCCCCTTGGAGCAATTGTCAGAACATGGGAAACAACTTTCGGCGGGACTTTTCCATCTCTAGTTCTGCTGGGTACGCGTTCAGGATATTCTCCACTTCTGGCCTCCACCACTCATCGTAGGGATTGACATGCCATGCTGAGGTATATTCCCAATACTCAGGGTACCATCCAGCCATCTCCCAGTCAATGATTCCTACCACACAACCATCTCTTACCAATATATTATAGGAACTCAGATCACCATGCGTGAAGCATGTCTTATACTCCTGCTTCTCATGGTCGCTTATTAGCTGATCCAACTCAGCATCCTTTACAGGTTTGATCACATCATGTCGCAGAAACCGGTTGAAGTCTCGGGAGTTCGTAAAAGGCCCAAACCCCCCAGAGTATATACGATCATCATATAACTCTGAATAATTGACGTCGCCGATGTGCCCAGGTCGTGGTGGGGAGAGAGATCGAAGGTCTGCGAGAAAGCGGCGTAACTGTGATCGAAGGGATTCCTTCTCCTGCGCTGAGATGGAGGCCCAAATTTTCCCAACTCTAACCCCCTTGATTCTTTCCATCAAAATGTAAGTGACACCTCCCTTTTTGAAGGCGCAGAGGACCCTTGGTACTGGGATAGACGTGTGACGCGCCACGTAGGCCATCGCCTCAGCCTCCGAGATATGCCTTGATGGCCCGTATTTCACACATAGATTGGAAGTGAGCATGAGAACGCCTCCCTGGCATGGTCTGAATGGGCGCAGGAGAGCAATAGAGATAAGAGTGAAAGTTCGTTGTAGCCATGAGTTATTGATACTATAATGGGTATCTGATGGCCTGCGAACCATGACGGGAATGATGGTAATGAGGGTTAAGCATGGTTTGTGAGTAGGAAATGGAAGACCTCAACATGATTAACTAACTTACGGAGACCGGAACGTCTTCTGTCTACTCCGTACTCCGTATTAGTTACTCTTAACCTCACCTCTCTGTTTATTGAGGCTGGGTACTTTGTTGCTGCGACACTCATCAAAGTGTTGGAGGAAGTGAAGAACATGATTGTTAACGTCAATTGGAGGGCTTGCTGGCCTTGCAAGCGATTTCGCAATATACCCCAGCATAGATGGGAGCTTTATAATGTTGTCCACTTAGCAGGATGAGAGTTTCCATCTCGGTTTCCCTCGTACACCCACCCCTATTCGGCCGATTTACGTTGGTTGGAGAGAAACCCTTACCAAACTCCAGCAAAGAAAGACGAGTTCGATCTCCTCTTTGTTGGACTGGCTTTGAAGCGCTACCCCGAGCTGCAAATCTGCTTCACTCACATTGGGACACAGTGAGAAGACAAGTGTAAGGGTATAAAATCACCGAACATCACAAATCAGCTGCAAAACTCCCCCAAATGCCCGTTCAACAATCAATTTAAACATAAATAATCTTTTCAGGATTAAATATACCTTGATGTTGTCTGCCATTGGCCCAAAATTTCCGCATTTGTGCCATAAACCCTGCCGAGTTTCCAGACTCCCCATGGTCCATCCTCGGGAATACATAGCCTCGTTGGTTGCTGACAAGTCTCACCTCCCCGTGAGTCAATTCAGTGGAGTGGTGTGTATGGCCATAGATCCACCACTGCACATCATCGAGACACGATCTTTCATTGCTCTGAAGCAGATCCGTCCCAAAAGCTGAGCTCCATAGGTTACCTTCATTAGAATGGCTAGAGGTTCCCTTGGTTGAAGGGGCATGATGGGAGATCACAATGATCTTCTGCTTCAAACCGGCTTCTGTACTTCTGATACGAGTGATTTCATCCATCAACCACTTCACGTCATTTAAATGTTCAGCAATATGATCTGCAACGGTCCAGTCCACAATCCGACGGAAGTCGTTAACCTTGTGACCCACAATCTCCTCTGCCTCGGGCAATATTTGCGAGTGCAATGTGCAGCCCAAAAGTGTGACATCTTGTAGGTCAACCCGTTTTCGGTTCATTAGGATCAATCTACCATTCATCACTGGCTCTGAATGAAGCCTATCCGCTCGACGCAGTCCTTCCTGACGTGAGACGCCGAAGAATTCATGGTTTCCGAGAACGAGGTAGACTGCGGTGAATTGCCCGCACTGGGTGCTAAGAAAGTCGCGAAAGGCTTCATAGTCTGCTAGCCGTCCGATATCGCCGGCTAGAATCAGACGCGTGGCACGAGGTTTGATATGGAAACTCGAATACTGCTGACCGACTTCAAGGTGAAGATCAGACATGACCTGAAAACAAATGTTCTTCCGTGGGCGGCATGTTGACAGAATGCTAGAAACGGGCATAATGCAAAGCTGTACTCCGTAGAGGCATGGAGCTGGCATATCTCACAAGAACCTGTCGTTGAAGATCTCTGGCCTCGTCTTCTGTCTACTCCGTACTCCGTACATGGCTGAAAAAGGGGGCCGATGCTAGGCCCAGAATGGCTTAGCTTGGAAGCCTGGGTTCTCCTCCATTAAACTACACAGGTTCTTCCTTTTGTGTCTGCAAACTTTTTATATTAGAATATTTCGACAATTCCAGACGTTTTGTTTGCTCTGCTCACCAGGGATTTACCTGGTGACAGTGACCAACTGTTTAAAGGGTTTGCACACCAAGCCCACAGAACCCAGCTTTAGGGAGCCAATGAGAGTATGCAAATTATGGATCAGACTTTGGCCCCCAGCCCTTGACCGAGGAACAACATCTCATTGAGACTGTCGAAATCACGAAATGGAGCCTGGGGGCCTGGGCGGCGCGGGTTGCGCGAGTGACACCCATGGAGTGGCAGTATTGAGCTTGATGCCTCTATCAGAGGCCGGGTTGTGCGCCCCATCCCATGCTCAAATGGACTGACTGCTAGGCTTTCTTCTGCATCAGGTCCTTGAGATCCGTCTTCAAAACTCAAACGGGAAGTTTCTCCGGAGTGAGGCACATTTGACATGATTCCATAATTCCACGATTGATCTAGTCGATGGCACTCCTACCAATGGATTATTTATTTTTGAATTCCAATTTCGTCAAGCTAGTTACTCTCGATGCCCTCAGTAAAGGAATAATGACGTTTGATACGGTCAACTCTCCCTGTCGGCATCGGCACGTACGGAGTACTACACAGGGGTGTGCATACAATGCTTGGCCTAACATTTAACTAACAGCTGATTGCTGCCTTTGTTTTTCTGTGCAAGGAGCATCTGGATGTTTTGCTGCATACACATTTGCGGTATAGAGCTCGCTTTCTAACTGCTCTGTTGTGGTGTCCTTTCCTCCTCTCCTGCTGTCGTTGTGAGAGAACAGATGATAGTTCTGCAATGACAAAGCTAAGCTCCCTCCTGTTACCGTTGTTCATCGGCGTCCACTCCATCATTGCGGCGCTAGTGGACTTGTCAGAGGGATTCTGTCGCAGTTACAAGTTTGGCTGTAAGCACGTTGACCAACTCCTGAAGAGCCTTGCCCTTTTTTTGCCTAATCCATCAGTATAGCAAATATTGCGAATAACGTTCTCTATCTTAACGGCCTGGACGGCGGGCTCATACCAGCCGATGGCGACGCGTCAAGTAATTAAAAATCGACCCAATTAAACACCCTCGAGCATCAGCTAATCTAGCTTCCATAGACGACTACCTCGTCCAGCTGGACCTCACTCGGAAGTTTTCGGTGGACGTTGGATCATACTATCGGATGAGCCTGATAGATCCCGCTATTCCAAAACTCAAGGACCAAGCCCTTTGGTCGAGTCAGGACAACAGCACACTCTATTGCTACGGCGGACGTGGAGTCAGCAATACATCAGCGGATAATGGGATATGGACGTATAAGACTGCGGAAAAAACATGGCAGCTCCAACAGGCGAGTGTGAGGCCTGTTCGGCTCGTCAAGGGCGGTATGTCTTTATGATGCGTCGCTTTTTCGTGTCTTATATACTGACGTGTTAATGGATACAACAGCTTACGTGAATGCTCCTCGTATCCAAAGCGCGTACTGGATTGGCGGTTATCAAAGCAATGATACATCACTCGCCATAGGCTCAGAGCTGATCTTTGCGAAAGGAATGATACAGCTGAACACCACAACGGGAGAGTTAAAAGAACTAGATTCCCCTTTCCCCGGGGTGCAGCAGGGAGCTTTAGTATATGTCCCTGTTGGCGAACTTGGAATCCTAGTGTTTATGGGCGGCGAAGTGCCTTCAGTGACCAGCGAAGTTGGAGCAAAAATCAACTACACGCCCGTAAGAGTCCCGAAAGACTGAGTGGGTTCCTATATTCTAACCGCGATACCAGAATAGTTGGAATTATGTGCAAGTATACGATATCGCCAGCGGTAAATGGTTCAACCAGACAACGTCAGGTCTCGCCATAGAACAAAGAACGGAATTCTGTGCTGTCGTTCTGCATGATGAATCCTCGTCCTCGTATCAGATCTATGTTCTTGGAGGCGGAACGTTTTCATCCACCAAAGCGCTATCCGATGTGTAACACTGCCCGCCATCTTTGTCTCGAAAGATGCTGACTGACGCAAACAGGTCCTACCTATCCATCCCGTCGTTCAAATGGTACCAAGCAGCAAGTCTCGATGAGCCTCGAATGACACTTACATGCGAAGCATACGGAAGGCAAATCTTTGGAATTGGCGGACGGAAAGCGCGGTATGATGATGCCAGAGCTGGTTGTTATACCATGCCTGCGTTTCTCTATGACACCAAAGTAGAAAGTATTGTGACGACATTCGATGTAGGTGCCGCACCGGGGCCGATGATACTTTGACTGCGCTTTTCACTCATTATAAATAGCCCGCACTAGTCGACTATTCTATCCCCTCAGCAACTAAAAAGGACATCGAAGACTCCCCGTTTCCATCTACCTGGGCGGATCCAGATCTAGAAAGCCTTTTTCCCCCTAACGCAACATCCTCCAACACTCTACTACCTACTCCATTCAACTACAACAGCAAGAATGAAATCCCCGTCGGCGCTATAGTTGGCGGAGTCATTGGGGGCGTGGCAGGTTTGTTAGTCATCGGTGCTGCCCTATTACTTTTTAGCAGACGGCGGCACGCCAGAGTCCAGCGTTGGACAGCAGTCGAAAGACCGAAAGGATCTCAAGATGGTGACTATTCCAAACCTGAACTTCCAGTAACGATAACGCGACGAGAATTGCCCGCCCAAGAGATACGGTATGAACTAAGCTCTGAGAATGTTGTAGAGCCGGATAGGCGGGAAAGCGGATATCCTCGTACCAGCACCTCCACGCGAAAATCATGAGTTGTAAATTGCTCGGGATAACCTGCCCAGTGTCGAACATCCGCACCTGGCATCATCATCATGTCAGGCTGCCAGGAGAAGTCTTATGAGAAAGGCCGCTCTTTAATGTTTTCTGGAAAAACGCGGCTTTTGAATGTTCGGGGCTGAAGCTAATGGCCGCTGAAATGGGGGTTCATGTCTGATTCAATGTAAATACTAAGCTCCTTGGGAGAATGTTGTGAATAGTGGAAGAGCTGCTCCTTTATTGTATTCAATGTAAAGCGCGCTGATCACCATAAACACCACTGTTCCCGTCTTCCTTCGCGGCCCGGAGGATACTTTCTGTTCTGTTTGGATGGCGAGGTCAAGATCAATCAAGAAAAGGAAAGAGACATGCGTTGGCACACCACCGACTGGTCAATCCGCCTGGGTGCGGGTAAGCGGATTTGGTAGAAGAAACGGCCGTCAAGCTGAACCGATGACAATCCATGTATATATCTAGGTTGTACTACCACTAGAGTCCCAATTTTACTCTAATGATAGAATATAACCATCCAGAATAGCAGCCGTTTCAACGCCTCCAGCTTAAAGCATGCCGGCACTAAAAGCCAAATAATTCGTGGAGTTCATCGCATAGCAGCGAGTTCACCCTGATCTCTGGGGTATCATGACGGAACACGACCATTCGGAGCTTGAGCAGCTAACCTGATACAGCACTGGCGCAATGACCGTCTGATCCGGAAACTCCGACGGGCCCTAGTCGTAGGTTGCTAGCCACAGTGAAGATTGATAAGGGCGTTGAAATCGGGATCTCGGAGAAGTTGGCTTGCAGTCAGGCGGTGTTTGGGTTCGAGGCAGAAGCCTTTGCTCAAAACAGAGAGAACAAGATTCCTCTCAATTGAACTGAGTTCTGGCTTGTGAAATCGAATTCGCTTCTCAAGACTTGCGGTGGCAGTCGTGTTCTGGTCATACCATTCATCCTTACTAGATTTCGGCCAGAGATATTTTCCTTTTAGATATTCGGGCAGAGGACCCAAATAGGCAACAACATTATTCAAATTCCGAAAGAGAGGAAACCCAAAATACAAAGTTGAGAAGACACACATATAACTCCACATATCACAGGAATAGTGAGGTGTGGCACCATGAAACTGCTCTGGAGAGCAATAGTCATCAGGTGGAATCACATTTGATACCTTGTCATTCAACATCACTAGATTATCAATCTGCATTGTTGTGCCAAAGTCCGCCAGGTGGATCTTCTCTGAGCAGAATGGTATGGGGAAATCTATTGACTTCACAAGTTCACCTTGTTTCCAGGGAGTATATGGGATCAATTTTCGCAGAGGCCTCCCAAGAATCTTGTATTTATCTGCTATGCTGAGATTCTCAGGGAGAGTACTACCCCACAAAGCATTCATGCTGTTTATGTCTATTGATAATGTTAGATTCCATATATCTGATATGATTTAGGGATAAATCACCTCGGTGAACAAAGCCAGATTTGTGCAGAGTCTCAATTGTTTGCAGCAGTTGTTTAGCAGCATGCATCCGAGTTGGAATGGGCAGTTGACCTCCCACAATAGATCCAGCACTGGGTCCAAGAAATGGGAATACAAAGACATAGTGATTAGTCTCTGGACTGGATAGAAGAAAGACATCTTCATACAAGACCAAATGAGATTTATCTTGTACAGTCTGATGTAAAGCAGTCTGAATTTGATATTCAACTTCTCCATAAAAGTCAGAAACCATAACCTTCACTGCAACATTTCTTTGTCTTTTTAGATCTTCAGCAAGCCAAACAGTAGAGAAGCCGCCATGGGAAATCTTATGAACTATGTGATATGTTTGATTGAGAATCTCTCCAATCCGTATAGGGTAGTATTCACGGGGGGGGAATCCGTATCGAACTTCTTCTTCAGCTTCAGCTTCAATTGTGGATACATCATCGTGCTCGTTGTCAATCAAGTCGCCGTAGTCAATGCTCTCGCTGACTTTTGCGTCGGGGAGGCAGGGTGTTGTTGAAATCCCCAAATGGACCATCACTGCGTGGATGGGGGGCGGAGTTCGACGGGAAAGGTAGCGCGAGATGGAGGTGGAAAAGACGGGCAAAGGGACAGTAAGAGGGTGTAAGCCGTAGGGGTAAACTTAGGTAACTTCCATCGAAAATGATGCATCTCCAGGACAAGGCGCATTGGCCGCGCTGTTTCGGATGTTCGTGTCTGTTTATCAGTATCCTTTATATTAGTTACGGCCGGAAAAACCCTCGGGCTGAACATCTTCCTTGTCCAATTCTTTCACGAAGCGCGTCACCTCAAGTCTTTCGCCAGTTGGGCAAGACGATCAGCCAAAAGGCTTCGGAGAGGCGACAGGGGGTTCATCTTGATACTTTAGGTATCCTAGCAAGACTGACTAGCCTTGCATAAATGCTTTTGGGTGTGATGATCGCAACGGCGACAGCAAACAACAATCTCTAGCAAAGTATGGATGGGTGTCAGCTAGAAGTTTCACCAAACATCCATCCAGCTCGCGCTCTCCCCATGGTGGTAACGGTCTTCTCGGATTTCACAAGATATTTAAAGGCCTTCCTTGCCCTCTTCTCCTGAACCAAGGCATCGATAGCCCCTATGCCCGACAAGCGCCAGCAGCCTGATTCACCTCCTACCGCCTCGCAACGCCAGCCAAAAAGGAGAAAGTCAAACGCGTCTGCACCTGCGTATTGGGATGGTCTGTCGAAAATTTGGTTAACCAAAAACGCATTAAGAGAATTGGATCGAAGAAACGTCTATTCCCAATTGCCTCAGAACCACAGACCTGTTACTCGACTCTTCCAAGCCACAACAAAGACTGAATTGTTTCAGTTTGCTCCTGAATTCATCCGTGCTTGCCCGCTCAATTGTCGAAGGCGATTAAAGAGGTTTGCTAGGTTGGGAGGCCCTGATCTTTCTGATCTTTGAAATGTATGGACCAACTCCTGCTACCATATTCTGGCACTGACACTCAATCCAGTATCCCATGCCCAACAACTCCTTTAAACAACCCATGTTGTCTAGTATGCCCTGTCCCCAAAGAAGGAAGCGTCATGCAGAATCTCTTCTATTGTCAATCTCTAAAGGCAAGAGAACAACAGCAGAAACTTCAACCGCTTCGGCCTATAGTCAGAACTTTCAACAAAATTTAATTGATCATGGAATTTATCTGGATGACTATGAATTTCCCAATGGCAATGTTCCTTCTCAGCCAAATAATTTTGATGAGATAGTTGAAAGATTGGCTCGACTGCAACCTTCTCTTTCACCATCAAAATTCTCTGATGAGGATTTCAAAAAGTTCAAGCGGGCAAATACAAATGCATCTAAGGAGAGACTGGTCACAACTTCAGTTATTCCAATCATTGAGGGTGAAATCAGCAATTCTAACTGTGTTGGGGGTGATTACCCATTCCAAAATCTTGCTCCCTTGACTGATGGCATGCTAGCTTCAGCCAAACCTGATCACTTCTATGGTGCTCGCCCCGAACAACTCAATCACCAAATCCGCAATCATCTTAGTCACCATATTATTCCGTCAACCCAAGATGATCTTCCAATCGTGCCAAACTTCTTTTTAGAGGCGAAAGGCCCTGACGGTTCTCTCGCCATAGCTACACGGCAGGCATGTTATAATGGTGCACTGGGTGCCCGGGGTATGCATTCTCTACAATCCTACCAGCAAGATGGACCGATCTACGATAACAATGCGTACACTCTTACATCGACTTACCATGGTGGTCAACTAAAGATGTACACTACCCATATCACGCGGCCTAAAGACGGCGAGACTCATCCCGAGTATATCATGACCCAACTCAATACATGGGCCATGACCGGCAACCGAGAGGCCTTTCAGCAAGGCGTATCTGCATACCAGAATGCTCGAGATTGGGCAAAGGAAACCAGAGACAAATTCATTCGAGCAGCAAATGAGAGGCTCTCCCTGGCATGCTCCCAAGATTCTTTCTCCCGGCAGCAGCTGCTTTCTGAGTTGACGCCTGTCCTGGATGATTCTGATGGGCCAACTGAATCTGGCGAGTATCAAGATGCTCAACGGAGTTTCGCCATCCCAGTTGAACGCGGAGAAGAAGATCACAGGAAGCTTAGAAGGCCGAGGATCCGTGCGAGCGAGTCTCTTGCTACGACCGGCGACGTCGTCAGCCATACAACTAGCGATAAAGCCCCTAGACTCCAAAACTGACCCTAACGCAATCTGTTCACACCCGTATTTGGGCTTATAGTACATACTTTGAGATAGTCCAGTAATACTACCTGGTTTGTCTCTCTTGCTATGTTTAGAAGAGGGCCCTTTGCTCACAAACCCTCTTTACATGGAGAAGCGGTTTCGGGCGAAGGAGATAAAGGTGGAGAAAAGATGTTGCATTCGTTCATCCAATGCTAAACTCCAAATAGGTAACATGAATTCCTCAGGATCTTCTCGTATTATGTTGTTGATCTTCCCCCGTCCGTTGGGGAGAGATCCTATCTAACTAAAATGCCGTCCTCCATTCCCCAGTGATTTCAGGATTCGACGAGCTCGCCTCCCTGTAATGATAACTCGGGCTAACCCCCGGAGTTCATACCACTCCCTGACATTGTTCTTGATTACCAGAGGCACGTCACCTTCACTGAACCACCATGCTGGGGTGGCGTGCGAAGACGGTCTTGGTGATCCTTGAAAGCGTAGCCACCAGCTCTGTTCTTGCAACCAGGGTCCGTGTAATACTCCAACATTGTCGGATTACTGTTAGGGCAATCTAGGAGCGCATCCATCCAAACACACTTCCAGTCAAAGTCCCCAATCGGTACACATTGCTTTCGTTCAGCGTCGACACCTCCCGCAGGGACGGCGCAATTCGAGTCATTGGCAAAGGTAACGTGAACCCCGGATGTGAAGCCAGCATAGGACAAGCTGACAAGAAGGAGAAGCTAACAGAGGCATCAGGTTATAAACTCATTTTGTCCACATCAGATCATCTAGACGGAATATACCTTGGAATATGTATGCATCCTGGCAAAGAGATGGGAGTTTATGGGAGCGTATCTGCCAACGCTGTCTATGGTGCGGACCTTGAACTTAAGCGAAGATTTTTGAATACCTACCGCCTCTCAGTTCAAGGTCAGTGTTCCCCTATATATGTTATCTCTATTGTCATTAGCTTACTGTTTCAATGTAGATCAGCTGCGGGAGACCTTGCACTGGTGATCAGCCAAAACACAGCATACTCGCCGTGTTTAAAATCAAGATGTGAGAGATGGATTTGTCATAGCCATTCGGCTTCTATTTGGGATATTACTGAACTGAACAATAGGGATTGTCAGGATAAAAAAGATCATGATATTCAATTGGCTGCTTCGCAGTTGAGGATGATCATTCTACCCCGTTGGCCATATGCAGTTTACAGAAGGCTTTTCAGCTAGCCACTACCCGAACTCACTTTGCAAAACAATTTGCCAATTCCGAAACGTGATGCTCCCGAGTTTCCCTAGAGATAGTGACCGCTAACAATCCAAGCCATGGCCGTATCGCTCACAGCAGACACGAATATACTCCGTCGGGCATCCATCATTAACGATTTGGCACTAACAGAAAAGTAAGGCTCTATTTTTGATGAAACAAATGAATAATGTGAGGACATGAGGCTTACTTTCTTGGTCGAGTCTGAGTAGCTTGCTTCGCAGAATGGAGGGTACCGTCCGCAACACTCTTTGGTATGCTCGTCCACATCCGCTCCACTTCCACTGCATTTACAGCTCGCGGTTGCTATTACTCTGCAAAGAAGGTTTAGTATTATAACTATACAAGGGGGCCACGAGAAATGATATTGGGTTCATACCGGGCGCCGAGTGAGAGGAGCATGATGATAGTAGAGGCCTTCATATTTTCTCGTCTACCTAGAGGCTAGCAATGGTCCAGGAAATGTGGAATGAGAGGTTTTGGTTTTGATCTTTTCAATCGATGGGAAAGCCCTTTATATAACCTGCCGCTCGAGACCCAAAGAAGGTGTGATTCTAATCAGCGTTCTCCTCCCGCCAGCTACTTTCTTTTAAGGAACAAAAAGCAAAAGTTGAGCAACCGCAAAGCTGACTTGATGATACGTGTGATACCTGTAAGTAAAAGCAAAACAGCCGATCTCCGCTCCGTGATTATCAGAAGGCGAGGTATCTATGTATCTATGTACATAGATCAAGATATCTCCATCACTTCTCACCACCCCTTAAGGTTTTTAATATTCCCCTCTTTTCATCCCCTATACGTTGACTAATAAAGGACGGTAGCATAGTTCACTCCCGGATAATCTTAATGGCCTTGGTTGTCAAAGTCCCGCGGCCATCATAATAACACACTTCGGGACCCGTAGGAATGGTACGCTGATGCTCATCGCAGGACTCGTCGTGGTACCGTTCGGGCGTATAGCTTTTCTCCGTGGAGGTTACGGTGTAATAGAAGGTCAAGTACGGAATGGCATCGATCGGCGTACATTCTCCGACTGTCGTATTGACGGTTTGCACAAGGTTTTCACACCAGTCTTCGGAATAAAAGTTTACAGTCGCATTCGTGGCAAGACAGAGCGGAATGTAACTGAACAGAAGCAACTGCTAAATAGGAAAAAAAGTACTGGTAAGAAATGAAGGGGAACTCGGAGAAGTATGTCTACATACCTTCGAGAACATCATAGCTAATAATTCGAAGGCTAGTATTGCTGATTAGCCGTGTTCTTTGGCGGATATAGACTTGGATTTAATCAGAAACAGCAGCATGCCTCAACTTATAGCCACTTTTTCAGTGTGGGTATCCTGCCGGGCTAAATCAAACTTGTGCATTATGTGGGTGTTGATAATGCAAAACGGTTTGCATGGAGTATGTACTATGTAGGTATCATTTCACATCTTTGTTGATTTGGATTTGAACTGTTAGCACATCTTAGTTCAATTCAGCCAGCCATCAAAAAGCTTATATTGACTATGACCAGGAAAAGCACGGCTGGATGCAGATGGTGCTGCATTTTCACAATCGTAAATCCAAGCCGATCTGGATTCAAACTGTTAGCATTGGGGCCGGGAGCAGGAGATGTTTTGGGTCATAGACTCTCAACCTTTGCGGGTTTGACCCAATTCACAGTCCTTGACCCTAGCGGAGGGTTTATATGGGAATTATTCACAATATAGGTACAACTTACAAGCGCACCATCTGATTCTCCTCTCAAAAGGATATGAATGACTTGACTTGAATTTTTCCGAAAGACTAGATTGAATCTAGATTAAGGTGGTAGGGACTTCTCATGCCCCCTTCTCAACATTTAACCCACTCCCGAAAATAGTTCAGTTGATGAATGATGAACCCAGTTAATGGGTGAAATCTTCCTCAGAGGCCCTAATCCCGGTAATTCAATGCCTTGTCCACTGCATCTCTAAGCTCAACACTAAATGATCGAAGAAAGCTGAGTAGTGCAATTGGGTTTCGTTGCTGCGTAAACCAGTTAGTATCACAAGTTACCGTCCACAAGCAAGGCTCTAACTCACCTGAACAATCCGCCAATTTTGGAAGTCGCCGACAGTTCCGCACCATTCTGGTGGACTAGATATAAGGAGTTAGTTGCAAGTGCTCCAGGCAATTATCAATGATTATGCTTGTTATCAAGTCACATACTTGTTGCATAGTAATGTGTTGCCACCATGGGCATGCCAGGTCAATGAACTGCGAAAGTCGCTCTTATTTTCACCCGAAGTAGAGCTTTCGGAATTAGCATGGCTGGCGCTAACTTCGGCTTGAACATATGGAGACGAGAAGGATAAGCTTGCGGCCGCCTTGAGAGATTTGGATTTTGCCTCCGTTGACACTTCCCCAAAGGAGTCCGAGTACTGTTGGAAGTAAAGGCATCCTCCAAGTAAAACTTTCTGTGGAAAGATATGACCTATATGCTTCTCAGAATATGATGGCAACCCGTTATGATTGAGCCGCGTTGAAAAATACTAACCATATTTTTCGTGGAATCTTGCAAACTTGTCATGGCTGTCAATTCCTTTCAAATCATCGACGCACTGCTTCCGAACTTGCAGTGTTTCACGGTCAAGATGTAGAGTAACCCGAGGGAACTAATTATTATTAGAGCGGTGTGAGATGCATCTTAGGATGAGAAAAACCCAAGGTTCCCTTACATTATAGGATATGTGCATCATAGCTGTAGATGCCTGTGTTGATTGCTCAAACACTTTCTGGTCTGATGTACTGAGGCCAGCTTTCACAGCTCCAGAAAACCCTCCAAACCCCCCGCCACTGTAAGGAATTTATTAGCAATGCAAATACTGTTGAAGGTCATTGTTTGGGTAAAGTTAACTTACACTGAGGCCTCCACGTCTGTCTGTGAAAATGTTGAACCAGCCAACATAGTTGATATGAAGGACTTTGTTTCCATAACCTCAACAAAGGAGCTATCGGTTACTTGAAAAAGAGGTATTTTAAGCTGAGATCTAAGTCAGCCCCCGTTCCTTACTATCACGGCATTTCTTAAGAGTTTCTTTCCACTTACATCCACGGGATCAAGATCATCTTCTGTAGTCGTTTCTGTGGCGAGCTGCGACTCCTCCTTTTTAGCAATGGTAAATGCTAAGGACAACTTAGTAGACTATTCCCCAAGAATTAATCAATGTGGATTGGGATACCTGAGTATGGAGCTCGAGACAGTTGGATTGCGATTAGTTTATCAACTGGGTCATCTGTCTTTTTAACTGTCATTGAGACAGAGCAGCCACTCAGCAAATTATTGTTTCGAATCACCATTTTCCAGTCATCTTCACTCATTGCCGAAGCATTGCTAGATATAGAAATTTCTCTATTAGCATGGATTGAGTTACAACATCTATAATGAAGGGTAGGTTAGCTTACGCCGGCTTGTCGGAGCCAACTGCCTGCCAGCGAGACGGATCAAATGAGGAAATAAGTTCTTTCACTGTCTGCCGGTCAATTCCTTGAGGGTTGTGTTCCTACCGGCGGATTAGGTCTCGGGTAGCGAGGTTTGATAAGGGAGTAGTTAACTCACTGGAAGAAGAAGATCAAGTTTCCCCTTTACAAATTCCTTTGTATCGTCGTCAAGCCCGGTTCTGAACTTGTGCCATTTGAAATATATATTTTGGCGGTCCGCATACCCTTCTGCGCTGGGTTTCTGCAAAATGATTAGCTTCGAGCGGATTAATAAACTGAGAAGATTTCCTGTCCTTACTGCCGGTTCATCAAGTAATTTACAATATAAATCGAAAGCCACAGTGTCTTTGACGACAGCGCCTCGGTAGTTGCAAAAAGAACTTGACCGCCTTTCTCACAAGTTTTCGTTAGCAAGCCTAAGGGTGGTAGTATATCAAAGGGAGAAGACTTACAATGACCAGTCCAATGCTTTCTTCTTTATCAGTGCTTCCCGGACGCCGCTCAGCAAGAGGGAAGATGTGTCAACATCTACAGTTGCAAAGCTGTGGTTTTTTATGACCTCTGCTTGTGGGTCATATAAGAAGATATTGAACGTCATGCTTGTCGTCGCAGATGGTGCTGCGGTCTTCTTGGGTGCGTCCATGTTGCTCAGATGTCTCGAAGAATCAAAATTTTGCAGCTCGGAGACAAGCACGAAAAGCCTTCACCCAGGCTACCTTTCCAAAGAGAACAAATTTAGTTGGAGATCCGAGAAGGAGAAGCATAGAAGTACAAATGCCATGTTTATAGATATCCAGAGTACACCAGTGACATTACCCAGTAATGCCAACAGATCCCTCAATGTGGATGGCTGAGTGTCATGAAACGGAGCGGAAGGAAACCAGGAATCTCAGAAATCATATGCAGGCCAAACTGGTATCAAATACAATGCCGCTTGCATGCAATAGGAACCAATAATAGTTGATGCGAGGCATTGGAGAGATTGGTCGGATGATCGTGCTGGCGCAAAACAACTTTGATCACCATACCATCGGCGGCCTATACCGGTTTGTACGACAATCCCATTAGGCGGAACACTTCTCCGGCAATCCATCCCCGCATATCATGGATGGCCGGCCGGTCGGCTGGCTAGCTGGCGGCAGTTCTATTTGCAATGGGGGATGAATCCAATGGAAGCGGAGGATGAACGGGATGTCAGTTCAAGTTTTCAGGGCTGTGGTCAGTTAGAGCAATGGCAATATCCAATAAAGCTTACTCCAATTAATAGGCAAATTCTGAGAGTGAGATTTTCGAGCCCGAGAACATCGTAACTAACTAGATACTCCGAGAAATATATCATTGCACCGAAAAAGGGCTTTATATCCAAAGAAAAAAGTAGCTAACTAACTAGCTCGGCAAAAGCTCCAGCGTGAATGTGATATAATCCGGACCCGCATATTGCGTGGTCCCAACCGAATAATTAAGAAGCCTATGCAAATAGCCACGAGGTGCCGGTTCGTCCTGGTCTGTAGCACCTGGTTCCATTATCTGAACCCTCACCTTATCGCCATCCTTTGCAAAGGTTGGAGGGTCAGGCTCCGGACCTAGGTATTGAATTCGAACTTCGCTTCCCCAACGGTCCCGCGCGTCAGGAGCCGGCCCTGGCGTAATCTTTGGTATCCCATTGTCCTCGAAGAGAAAGGACTTATGATAGAAGCCTCCAATGACCGGTGTAGATATCACATATCGTTCGAAAACGGTTATCTCAATTTTATAAAGTTGATCGTATTTAATCTATTAACTTGCTATTAGCTTGACGTCCTAAAAGTGTTGCAAGATTTCTACTTTCCTTCCCAGCATCTGCGGGTGCGGTCAACATATCAATTCTGAGTGTCTTGATAAATCTCGGACGTACTGGAGGCGGAGGCGGCGTTTCAGCTTGAATAAGGAGGTGGGATGGAGGTCCCCAGATAAAATTGGGGTAGGCAAGCGAACGGCCTTCTCTTCGGAGTTGCTCTCGGTATACGGGATCACCCTCTTCTTTGGCTTTCAGCTCATCATAAGCCTCACTTTGTACTATTGCATGGTCTTAGCTCATGATGTAGAGCAATGTTGGATTTGTGACTGACAGCTACCACCAGGGAAATGCCATGATGAATCATATACCCCCAGATACTTGTTATCATCGGTTTTCAGGGAAAAGTTCACATGGGACGGAACTTCAGCACCTGTCAGAGAAATAGTCCAGGTAAGCATGTTATCATGAGCACAAGAGATTTTGGCAAATCCATACCCTCCTGGTCCGTGGAAGGGACAGTCATATGGGCCATGAGAAACTGTATTGGTAGAAAATCCAATATCTTTAAATAGGAGGTTCAGAACAGTAGGTCTTTATGGAGTGCAAGCAAGCAAGAAAGAAAAATGAGCAAGACTCACTGAGTCTGTTTTCCTTTCTTTGTGAAAAATGCTATCATGGAGTGATTCTTTCTTATCAATTGAAGACTGAGAATTTGACAATAGTCCAGCTGCTAGCCAAAGTTGTATCATGGAACAGCTGATGCAACTTCTCAGCCAGCCATTTAAAATGTGAGTTTTGACCAGAGTGAGGAATGGACGTGGCTGTCTAAACTCACCTGTACTTTGCAAATCCCAAGAACTCTCCAGGCAGGCTATATGGCACAGACCTGTTCTTTGCACTTTATGGTGCCATTGATTTCATGTGATACATGCAGACAGTGCTGCTCGTTCCCATGTCGGGATGGCAGATCTGCATTATCATCCTGTAAAAGAATGGCACAGGAATTCTGGATATCACTGTAAGATTGCGCGTGACGATACCCTCGGTCAAGTCCCCGAATTTGCAATTCTGACTGCGATCTTCAACTGTAATCTAGCTATGAAAATCTCCAAATTCAGCCGATAATTCTGTAATTTGGGAGGTATTATATCCTCCTGCTTCCCAGCAAGAAGCATGCCCATTTTTGTAGTCTGAGCCGAACTTTCCGAAGTATCTTTGTGAAGTGTACATTGTAAACACATACACTCAATTTCAATGCATTCTTTGCTTTATCTTCTCTGTTTTGTGGCATTAGGCTGCTGTTTGGCAGAGTCAGGCCAGCCCGAGCCGCAAGCCTTACGGGGCTGCGGTTCTAAGCCTTCCCCTGAATTTGTCGCTTCGGTGCCCGAAATTGCTCGAGAGGAAAAAATGACCCCTGAACCTCAGGTTAAGACTGCCATTGACACATACTTTCATGTGGTTGCTGCGAGCAAATCTGAGATTGATGGCTATTTACCGGTTAGTTATGGGTTTTATAATATCATTCATGTGCTCTCAGATGTTAATATCATACCTATTAGCGCGCCAGGATTGATGCGCAGCTTAAAGTCATGAATGAAGCCTACAAGAAGCATGATTTCTCATTCAATCTCAAGGGTGTAAAGTGGACAATAAACTCGATGTGGGCCGACAACAGAGACAGTACTCGAGAGCGTGAGATGAAAAAGAACCTCCGGCAGGGAACATACCAAACACTGAATATTTACTTTGTAAAGAAGCTTGAAAACAAGGGTGATCTGGGTGTAAGCACCAACTGTACTTGCAGAGTCACCAGCCTTTTGGTCTTTTGCGAGCTAATAAATTTCAATAGGATTGTTATTTTCCTGAGAAAGTCACCCCGGCACAACTGATCAAGGATGGCTGTCGCATTGTGTCTTCTGCGGTTTCTGGAGGTATCCAACCGTATGATCGTGGCATGACTGTAGTCCATGAAGTTGGGCATTGGCTAGGTAGCTAACATATTGTCAGACACTGGAGCTGTTAAATCGAGCGCTGATTTTGCTTTAGGATTGTTTCATACATTTGAAAATGGCTGTACAAGCCCGGGAGACGAGATTGAAGACACTTCATACCAAAAGGAGCCAACGCAGGGCTGTCCAAGTAGTCCGCCGCCGAGCAAGTGTCCACAAGGTGGAAATGATCCAATCCATAATTATATGGATTATTCTCACGAGTAAGACTCAGATATTCATTTGACGCATATGAATTGAGGAGAGATACGCTAACCCAATTTAAACTGAAGTCGATGCATGAATCAGTTTACTGCGCAGCAAAGGAGACGTATGAAGTCCATGTGGAGGCTATATCGTCAAGGAAAATAGCAGCCTGATCTGGCATGTTGTTTTCATTTCGAGTGAGGAGAGCCTGGATTAGTTAAAGGTGCAGCTAGTAGGACATGTGAAGTCTCTCCATATCTGATCCTGTGGAACTATACAGTTCGTAGTTCGGTCTCAACTACCGAATCCAGCTTGAGATAGATTTTCGGATCTCCCCGAGATACGGGATTCAGACGAATATGATCGCTTGGTCCCCCAAGTATATATTGTACATAGTTTCCCAAAAATATGGACAAAAGCCAAAACTCCCCAACCCCCAAGGAAATGCAGGTAGATTGACGCAAACGGCAAAATCAGAACAAATTTCGCACCAGCTTTCATCTCATTAGACGAAAGCTCGATCATTATCGGATCAAAAACCTCTGGGGTCACGATGCCTAGGGTCGATTTGGTGATCATCGTAGCCCTCGACATCCATCTCTCCGCAGGAGGAAGAGACAGACGGCGGGGCGGCCGGGATAGAGCAAGGGTCGGGAGGAAGAGGGGGGATAGATATGTTTGGATTCTGAGTATAGATATCTTGTGGAGGATTGGATAAGGGGGTGGGATGGAACCGATCGGCCTCTGTTGGTAGTGGTGGTAAACTTCGACCTTGGACCGTGGATCGCGGCAAGGACACTGGTACTGCTGCTTCAGCGGTTAAAGAACGGGCATTTTCCAAAGTGGAATGCTCTGTGTGCTGGCGAGACGAAATATCGAGACTAGGTCGACTTGTAACGGGTAGAGAGGAGCGGATTGGGTTGTCTATCGCGCCATAACCTGCATCATCTCCTTCAGCATACGATGGGGCACGATTGAATCGATGTTGATAGTGCAACGAGGAAGAGGACGACGTAGAAGAAGAACGACGGGATGGGCTGGCAATTGGCGTATGACTTTCGCCAAATGTATTCGGATCCATCGATTCTAAGATAGACCGCGTTGGAGATGGAGTGCGGCTCCGGTCATGAGACGGCAGGGTTTCCATGGTTTCGCCCTTCACAAGTCCCAGCACTTCTTCCTCAGTGGCGTTTTTCATAACGTGCTTCGGCCGTGAAGGTGAGTAGTGCGCCTTGAAGCCTGGGAATCCGAAAAATCCATTATCGCGCTCCTGGGATGCTTCCCCGGGAGATTTTGCATGGGGAGACTGTGCTTCACGATGGAAAAGTCTCTGGAAGGAGAATTGGCGATGGGATGAATGCACCGGGGGAGTCGGCGGGTCATCGTTAAATTTCACATCATCTGCAAACCTGACAGAACCCAGGGTCTCACTTCGCATTCGCCTTTGACTGTCGTATTGGAACGGTGCTAGAAGCTCATCGGCAGGATGGTTTTTGATCTCCGTATACTTGTGGTAACCGTTGCCCCCCGTCCTTGAATTGTCCGGAATAGAATCCAACTCAACAGAACACATTCCGGCATTTGCACTTTGCGAATGCTCACTTGACTTTCTTGGAGAATGTAGGAGGCTCGACGCACGACTGCGGAAGCTACCCAAAAACGATCTCCCGGTTCTGGGGGGTGTTGTCGACTCTTCATCAAGGTCCGGGAACCGCGACATCCCAAGAGGTGGGTGAAGGGACTTTGTACTCCGCGGTGTGGTAGCTGCCCCTGATCCCACGACCGTCCTTCTTCTGCGTAAACCATCCCATTCGATTATTTCATCCTCTCCAGCCTGTTGCGACTCGTCAAGTTTTCGTTCATGCTGATATCGTAATATCTCATCCATTTCCATCTTCTGCCTGGGGGTTGAGATTCGGCGAATGATAGCAGCGGTGCCACGGATGGCATCTGCTTTCGGCTCTGTCTCCGGTTGTTCTTGCTGGGCAACTTCTCGCACTTGGTCTAGGTCCCCCTTGAATATAGCGGCATCCGGCACATCTTTGGCGGATTTTGAGAGTTGCAGCAGCACGACTCCAGCGCATATTTGGAGGAAGCCCATGACAACAGTGGTGATACTGATTGGAGATCCTTTGAAACCCTGAAACAAGACAGCAGAGGTGACAATTGTAGCACTAGTGAAGATCACATAGTAAGTTGGGGTGACCAATGCGGCATTGAAAATATTCAAAGCTTTCTAGTCCAAACATCAGCCTCTGGATTTGCACCGACAGTCCACACAAATGATGGTTACCCAAGAAAAAACTCACATTTAGATAAATGATCTCAGTTAAAAGTGTTATTATCACAAAGACCAATAGAACATAGAGGAACCATTCCTTGAATTGTGACTGCCCTGATATTTGTGCAATAATGGCTGCTCCTAGACCTTGAGTAGCAACGACACTTAGAGCGCCAATAAGACTGCAAACCGAGAGATATACAAACATGCTTTTTTTCCCATAACGGGGGCCAGCCCAAATAGCCAAAAATGCACTACCGGCGATGAGAACTCCAGCATAGGCAAGAAAAGCAGGACGCGAAGCATAGTGCTTCATATCTTGAATATTCGAAACCGAGGACTGCTGCGGAGCGTTCATTGCGATCACCACAGAGCCAATGATGCAATTGAAGCAGCCAACTTTGCCCACGAAGCTTAGCCGCTCCTTGAGGAAGATGGCGGACAAGATGGTTGTCACCACGACGGATAATGCGCCCAAGGGCGTGACCAAGATAGCATCCACGAATGCATACGCTACAAAATTGCATATTTCTCCGAGAATCATCAGTGTCATACCAGCCCACCAGTAGAAGTTTTTGAGATATCCGTAACCCTCTCCAGCCTCTTCATTGTATTTGACATTGGCCTTGAGCAGGCCAACCTTTTTCATGACAAAGGACACTCCAATGAAAAGGCCCGATGCTACCGCCAGGGAGATACCGACGGCTTTAAATACGGGCGGTCGACTACTCGCATCGCCCGTCAAACCGCCGGACCTTGCAGCCAGGGGTATGACATCGAGTAGCTGCTCATGCATCGTTGGATGGAAATCCGCTACCAGCGGCCTGTAAGCAGGCCGTGGCAGCTGTGGGGAGGTCGACGTGAGTTAAAGACCGCCGTTTTCGTTCCACAGAGGTGAATATAAGGTACGACGAATTATCGAGGGTGGATGGAGCAAAGGACAGGGGATCGTAGGGATCGGACGGGGGCATTCAGGGGTAGGACCCAGAGCTTCCAAACACGCAGTCACTTAAAAGTCATATCTTGAAGCAAGACACTGAAATGAGAGAAACCCAGCTCCGTCAGCTCCATCATCCACATCACGGTATAATCTTCAGAGGAAAGGGAGCAGAATAGAAAAGAAAGCCAACTGTTGTCGCCGGCGAAGCGAGAAAAACGAAGCGAAAAGCTTGGACCTGGGGATGACGTAAGGCTGCTGACATAACACGTCTTATCTTATCGGGCAGTGTGGCTGTGCGCAGATTGCTATTTTCGGAGTGGCTCAGACTTGGATTCAGCCACAATATATGATTTTCAACAAAAATCAAAAGCTGATGATTTATATGATTTATATGTACGGAGTGCAGAGGAGAAGGAGGTGGACGGGGCTCTCCTGAAGACGCTGGATGTTGGGTCTTCCCAGAGTATTCCTGCCTGAAACTCCAGGACTGTCCCAGGCTCTGGATTCACGGTTCCTGGCACAAAGATACACCACGCGGCGCATCAGTGTTGCCTGCTGTGAATGCCTTTAATGCCAAACAAAACTCCTTGCCTTGAATGAGTGTTGGGAAGATTCCAGTCAGCCTGGTGCTACATTCTTTTGCTTTCCTTTGGTGGTGCCAGTTGTTTGCATTTCAGTCTTGGATCATGAGAGCCAGTTTGCTGCCATCTTTCAGGCTGCCAGAACTGTTCATCAACTGGACCATTCACTGTGCTTCAAACACTTCTTGCTGGAGTGGCTTCTCCTGTAAAAAACAAACCAGCGACTAGACACATACCTGATGATATTGTGGCAGCCTCTGTGGAGGTAGGGAGCACAGGAGTGTTCACTCTTGGGCGTATGTTTGGCGCCGCATCACAGCAGTGATGTCGCCCGGCTTCCCCTCCTGCTTATGTCGTCGACACACGTTGATCCTCTGATCAAAATTCCCTTTTTCGGCGTTGCTGTGGCCTTGCCCGGCAGATGCTCTCTTTGCTGCTGCGCTCTTCTTGTGTTCCTCGTCGCACAAGTCTGCCTTGTTCGCTAGCAGAACAGCTACTCACATTCGTCTCTCCCTTTTTTTCCTTCTTGATATCTGATCTTCACAGAGATTCCGACTCTCATTCTAGCGCGCTCGGTGAAGATGCCAGAGGAAGGCAAAAGCAAGGCCGCTCTCGCCCGGGATATCAACAATCTAGTCACCCTTGCAAGTACAACCAATGTCGAGCCCATGTGCTACTCTCATCAGGCACAGGCCAACTGGCCAAGAACCAAGTTCTCCCAGAGATTCACGCTGCAAGATGCGATTGCGACCGTGCTACTCGATGGACGCCGTGGAGAAATGTACGCAGTTGGGCTACAGGTTGACCACGACGAGGACCCGTCGAAGAGAGCAATTGTCGCGTACATATCCACCAACCAGAAAGTCACGCTGGCGAAAACAATCTACCTCGAAGACGTTTTCAACATCTTGCAGAAACGCGCCAGAGTCTACGAGGACTTTTTGACCAAGAAGACCCTGTTTGAGCAGCAGTGCAGCCGGGCAGAGGCAGGGGGCCCGAAGGTGACAGTTGAAGAGCCCAGCTTGTCACCGAATCTTCTGCACGATTTGATGCGATTGGTTTACCGTCACTGTTTTAAGGGCTGGATTAAATCCATTCACAACTCCATTGCCGACATGAATCGGTTCAAGGCCACCATGATGAGTATCGTTGGCGATGGCCTGGATGGATCAGACCCAAACTTCTACTTGTGGCTCGAACCTTTGACCTATCTTATTGAGCAATTCGACTGGGTTTATGAATCCACTGATTCTTACCTCCAGCAAGAACGCGATCCTAGGGACCTTGTGTCACACCCAGATTTCGTTTCCAAAATAGACCGTTTGGAGTCGGCATACAGAGTGTTTGAACGTGATAGAGAGGCTTTGGACAAGATTGAGGAATGGCATGCACTCAACCAGGATACCGGTATGTGACGTTTTCCACGGACCTAAAACGAGAAACCAGTCTAACTCTCGATTCCCAGAGGAGCCCATCACCACGCATCTCAGGCGCTTTGTCGATTTCCAAATCGCAATAGAGCAGCTCATCCGCGTTTCCCAGCTGCCCAAAGCAATTCACTTTTTAAGAGACAAGTCCCTTGAAATAGTCTACATTGACGATTTCAACAAGCTACCCATCAAAACCACCCTTCCCACCGACGTCGGCAGCTGGGAGGCCATTCTCGCCCAGGCACTTGAATACAACGACCTCAGAATCAAACCAGATCAAAAAGCCGGCGTCGATCGCCACCTCGCCGCCCTGAGCGAGATCGCTTCACGGCACCCCACGGGCCGCAAACCCACCGTGCACCCACCCACCCAGCTCCTCCAGTTCTTCGCGACTCACCAGATCCACCCGCCACCACTGAGCATCATCGGCAGCTCCCAGCCCGTCTGCGCGGCGTGCGCCTCCCTCTTCACGGCCTGGCACTGCCTGTTCGAGTACCCGAGCTACATCTCACGCGCGTCCGACGGACGGTACCCGTTTCCATGGAACGTTCCGACCGAATGGGTTGGGTCCAGGATCGGGGATGATCGCGATGTGTTGGAAATGGTGTATAGTAGACTTGCGGAACGATTGGGCACCGCCTTGTCTGACGCGGGCATAGCCGAGCCCGCAGGAAGCGAAGATTCGCAGGCGGAGGGAGTGCGGGAGGGGGGCAATGAGCTGGGCAGTAAGGACAGTGGTGGGGGAATGGAAGGACATGATGCGTGGGACGTAGGGAGGGATGAAAAGTCCGACATCAATGTCGAAGTGGTGGTGGTTGCGCCGGAGGAGGATGAAGGCGATGGGAGGTTGGTTACGATCATGGAGTAGGATGTTTAACACGGCTTTAAGGGGGGCTTCTCAGCGGTGGCTGATTACGGGCAGGACTCTTTAGAATGAAAATAGATGAGGATTATCGGTTTTTTAAACTATCATGCTCTCTAGTACTAGTATGTTCAGCCAAGTTAGTCCAAAATAATCAAATGAAAATGTGGCCTTGCTATTAAACATTGTAGAAGTTTACAATATTTCCCGCCCGTAAAGAAAAGAAAAGAAAAACCCACTCCGAGAAGATAAAAGCTTTATTTATATACATGCTTCATGCGCCTCTCACGACAATAAGATAAAACGAATATAAAAAGCCAAAAGACGAAATCAAAAGAAAAAATAAAAAGCATAACTTCATCACGCTCGTGCATTCGTCCTCGGTTTCCGGAACTTATTCACCGGCGGCGGCGGCCCATCGTCAGGATACGGCAACTTCCACTTATTAGGGCTTGGATCCGCCATCCCAATCGGCCTGCTGGCGCCCTGGGTCGGCGAGGGCATGGAAATAATCACATTCTCCGGCGCGGCGGTGCCGTTGCCGTGGCTGACGTGATGTGTGTTCACTGGCCTCGCCGCCTGTGGAATCGGGGTCTTGGGCGGACGCGGCGGGGCCATGTCGGAAGCGAATGTGTCGGAGCTTACGCGCGGGGAGGTTGTGGTGTACGGCAGTGGGTTTGCGGGGAGTTCCTGGCTGTGCCGGCTTCCCGGCGGGGAGATGTTGGAGGGGGAGAGGCGCGGGAGAGGTTTGGACAGGCTGGGGGGTTTTGGGAATAGGGAGAATTGAGGGGTGGGAAGGGGTTCGGCGGGTAGTTCGATGGCCGGGAGCTCGTAGACCGGTTGCGTGGGAGGTGCTTGGGGAACTCTAGGTGGAGATGCGGGTGAGTGGTCTGGAGATGGCTGAGGACGGGCGGCTGGGACGGGAGGAACAGGCCGCGCTGGCGGTGGAGGTAGGGGTCGCATCGTCGGGTCGACGCCATGGGTTCGTTCAGCGGCGACTGCAGCCTCGTGCGCTTGGATACGGCGATGCGTCCGGTGTATTTTGGCTAATTTCGTCGCGGCGCCATGGGTCATTTTCTGGACGTCCTTCTTCGCCAAATAGAGCCGTGTGTTGGTGCTGATTTCCGTTAAACGAGTCCATTCATTCATTCCATATTCACCAACGCCAATCTCCACGTTTAGACGGCAGTAGTTGTCTTTTGGTACATTTCTCTTTGCAAGATACTCCTTCAGCATGTACTGATGGGTCGTCTCGCACCCTTCTATCTTGGATATAAGGTTCCGCTTCGCTTCCGCAAAGTCCTCAAAGACATCTTCCCACCATTCATGCCGCACGTTGTTGGAGCTCGCAGGCCGCTTACCGGTACCGATGCTGACAAAAATACCAACTTCTCGCCCAGGCCATTCATTGACGGTCGCCTCGTCCAGAATCAGCGGGGAGGGGTTGAATTTCCCGCCTCCTTCGTCAAGGAACATTTGCTGTCCTATTTGAATGGGCTTGAAATGGTGTAGCATCGCACTTGTTGCACGTCCGGCCTGCCATATCGTGCAGTTAAAGTCGGGAGGGGGTTCTTTTCGTGAATCGTACGAGCGTAAAAGCGTTGGAGGCCCGTTTTTAGGCGTTCCTTTGAAGTAAGCCGTTACTGCTCTAGATTAAAGGTCAGTGTTCGACTATCGCCGCGGTCTCTATTTTTGTAAAAGGATAAAAAACTCACGTTTTTGTTCGATGCTCCCGATTGTCGTATAGCAACGCATCGGGATTGCCCCATCTTGACGCCCCCATGCCAGCCGGGTTATAAGGTAAAAGATTCGTCATCGTTGGCGACAAGTGCGTTGGCGATGACGGGTGATTCACGCTATGGGTGCTCCTAGTGCGACTGAGGTGTGAACTGGATCGACTGAGCCGTCTCGTCGACACGCCGGACGCGAGGCTGGTGGTCGACTGGCACATCAGGGCATAGTCCCCCGTCAGGGACGGCACCGTTCCGTCGTTCCCTTCTGACTCGGAGGACGTATGCTCTCTCACGCACCGACGGATCGCTTCTTCCAACCTGGAGGCTTTGAACAAGGTCGACCGGTAGGGAATGCCAGCAATGGTCTTGTCGGTCTCGAAGACGTATTTCGTCAGGCGAGGGTACATATTCTTGCATGTCTCTATGTCCAGACGCAGACGGCCCAGCATCAAAGCGATGAGGCCGCCGGTTCCGGTGCCAGCGATGAGATCGAAGTGGTCGCATGGCTTCGGTATTTGGTCACGGCGAGGAGCGTTGCCTTCGGCCTCGACGTAGGTTCGATACATCAATTCCTGGAGGATGATCAACATCGAATAGCCGCGAACACCACCGCCATCTACAGCCAGAGTAAATGAGATAAGTTAGCTGGGGTTCCGGAAGAGCGAGCGAGGGTGGGCTGCAGAAGCGCTCGATCGGCGGAAGGGCCGTCCGGCCTTCACGATCGCGAGGAATCGAGCCAGCGGCTACTTACCTAGACATAGTATTCGTAACGGCGGGCCTTTTGTAGTATCCTTGCGGCGCACGGTCGACGCCGTGATGTTCTCCATGGCGGGATGGTGAAAGGCGGCAATGTGTCAGAAGCGGAAACAAACGGTGCTTGATGGGGACTTTTCAGCCTTATGGAAAAACAGCCTTAGATAAGAACCGATCAACGGCTGAACCCCACGCGCGCAAGTCTGGAATCGTCGTGATAATTTGGCGATCAAGATCGAGAGAGAGAGAGAAGAAGATGAGCAGCGGTGGCTGAGAGTCGAGATGATGGCTGACTCGGCTCGAATGACGACGCCGTTGGTGAGGATGGCGATGGAGGGTGAAGGGATTACGGTCGAGACAAATCACAGGCCAAGGGTCTCAGGCACAGGGCGCTTCGGCGGACGAGGCGGTTGTACCGAGCAGCCCTACGCACAATGCTTTTGTTGGGCTCGATCTTTACGTCGCGATGCTCTGCTGGAATTGAATTACCGGGAAATTCGGTTGACGGCCAGCATCAAACCCATGGTCTGCACTCGGCTGTGACTTGCTATCCGATTCTACAGTCTGGAGATGGTTCCCAACCTACCAGACGACGATAGCCACCACATCCTCTCGACCTTAGTTACAGGAGCCACGGCTGATCTCACCAGAAGACCATCCTCACCGGTCACACTTTGCACCTCGCCGTCGCCATCAATAGATACCTAATGATAGGTCACACAGTGTCGATGACATCACAGGGAGACCGCCAAGCCACATGTGGCACAGTCTGCATCAGGTGACCAGCGCCCGTGGCTGTGCTGCTTAGTCATCATCATGTATGAAGAACAAGGACCAAGGACTAGAATAAAGAGAAGAAGAAGAAGAAGAAGAAGAAGAAGAAGAAGAAGAAGAAGAAGAAGAAGAAGAAGAAGAAGAAGAGAATGATACTGAAGGTCTTTCATGATCCAGCTGCTGCATCATGAACGGCACATCTCTAGCTTTGCCCAGCCTCCGGCTGCCATCGCACTATTTCCCAAACGGGCTACAAAACCCCGAACCCTGCAAGAGCTGACAAAGCAGCAGGCCAACGAGGTCACCACTCCGTATTGGGAGTCGGAGGAGAATCCATGAAGCGGGACATAGCAACTATTAATAAGTGAAGACGCCTTGCACCTCAAGGCTCACGGAGCATCACAGACCTGTCCTGCTCACCGTCACCACCACCGCCCGCTCGTGACCATGAAGATAAGCCAGGTAAGCCCACCAGCATCCCTTGCTGATATGCTCTCTGCGCCGGGGTTCAGGCACAACAGCACCATGAGGAGGAGCCGTACTGACTGCTGCCACAGCTCTACGTCTATCCCATCAAATCTCTCCGCCCAACCGCTCTGGCTGAGTCGAGATTGACAAGTCATGGATTCCCTCATGACCGGCGCTTCATGCTGCTCAAAGTAGACGCAGCGGACGGCACTCTGACCAACATGCACGTCTCCAGCTTTCCGCAGATGGCTCTGTTCCGGACAGACATTGTCTTTCCCGATGATACCCAAGACCAACGCGGGCAGATCGTGGTGACATACGTGCCTTCTACTGGCGACAACAACACTGCCGGCATCGAAACGCTAAATGTTCCCCTGGAGCCCAGTGTCGATGGCCTGCGAGTCTTCGAGGTCGTCATGCACAAGAGCCCCACAGAAGCCTACGACATGGGAAAACAATATAATTCCTGGTTTTCCAGCCGCTTTGGCTTCGATGTCGTCCTTGCTTACCTGGGAGAAAACAGGAGGCCCCTTCTGGGAAACATGTCTCCCACCACCGCGCAACACTCAACCCAGAGCAGCTGGTTCTCGCGTGTCAGCCAAAGCGTTGCATCCCTCGCCGGCTGGGCCGGAGGCGACGCAACCGGTGCAGAGGGTATCACCTTTGCTGACGTCGCGCCGTATCTCGTGGTTTCCGAGACCTCTTTGCAGAACGTATCCGCGAGATTGCCCGAAACGATGGATGTGACCAAATTTCGGCCGAATATCGTGGTTTCCGGCGCGCCCGAGGAGTTTGAAGAGGACTTCTGGGCTGAATTGACGGTGGATGGCGATATCACGCTGACCTTGACAAACAATTGCGCGAGATGTGTTAGTATCAATATTGATCTCGACGCTGGGGCCCCCGGGACTGGAGAAATGGGCTCCGTCCTGAAGAAGCTTATGAAGGATCGGAGGGTCGATAAAGGGACAAAATATAGTCCAATCTTTGGACGTTACGGATTTCTAGGCAACGGCTGTGATGGTGCTCCTATCAGAGTCGGAGACGAAGTAAAAGTTACAAAGAAAAATGCAGAGCGCACTACTTTTGGTAAATCAATTTCAACCCATCGACGTACTAACTCCAATCGACTGACAACTTTCAGACTGGCCAGGACTTACGAATTGATATCTCTCGATCAATGTTCAAAGATAAAACGCCAGACCTGGCGTCTCCCTTCCACTATTCCATAGCTCCCTTCGCCCATACACTTCTGCTCCTCTCCAAACAACCCAACAACGCCTCAATCTCTCGTACAAGGTCCGCCGTATGCGAGCTGTGGTCATAGATCTTCGCTACCATATTGTCCCACGACCTATACCACTCCTCCAACATCACCACCAACCCATCCAAACTCCGCACCTCCCCCCTCTTCCCTCCGTCCCCCCGGTCACTCCCGCTCTCATCCACCACCAGCTCCGGAACCCCCGTCAACATCATCACCGCATCATAACCCCGTTCAATCCGCACAAAACACTCGCCAAAACACCATTCGATCCCCTCGTCCGAACCGCTGGACCCGGGGCTCCGCGCCACCGGCATACCCATCGCCTCCCACGGATTGTCGTAGTAGAAGATCCTGCTGGTCCAGAGCTCTTCGAGCACCGCCTCAGAGGCATACGGCCTGATGGAGACCGTCTCGCGGGCGAACTCGCTCTGGAAGCGCGCCAGGCAGGTTGCGGTGTTGCGCAGGGTGCGGATGAGGTTTTCGAGGGCGGTGGTGAAGCCGTCTTGCGTTGGCCTGGGTTGTCCTTGTCCGTTTTGCTGTTGCGGCCTGGTGGGTGGTATGCAGGGATCGGGCATGGGCATCAGTGGTTCGGGTAGAGATGGCATTGGAGAGGGGCTTCCGAGATCGTGTAAGTGGGACATGATGAGTGTAATGACTCTTGGAGAGTGAGAACGAATCTGCGAGACTAGAACGGTATGTCCGTGCAAATAGTCTTGTTTGTATAGAACCCGCAGTAGAAGTCTTCAATCCTTTTTTATATGTGAAGCAAAGCCAGAAACCATGCAGCAAAAGTCTTGGGGTCTTCTTTCTTGCCTGGCTGCAGGTCAGGGCAAAAAGGGGGATTTCTAGAAATCTCAACCTTTCTGGAAAGCGCGATTGGGACAAGCAATCAGGAGCACAGGTTGAGAATCCATATAGCGGCTGATAAAGAGGACAAAAGAGTGGCAGAGCCTAATGTAAAAAGATACCATGAAAAAAAACAACATCCCAGGAGAATCGATATATATATATTTACTTCCAAGAAAACATCAGCACAAATCCATCCGCGTCTTTTATTGTTTTGTACATGTTAAACAGAACACATAGCAAAATCTCGCATCTTGTTAAGAAGAGCATTGCAAAAGGGGGATAATAGATATCAAAAGAAAAAGGGAACATGCAAAGTCATCATCCGTCATCCATGCCGCACCATTAAAGCGATCAAGATTTACTCCTCAGTCCATGGAAGGCTGAATGTTCCCACCCAGTCTTCAACCTCTTTTCTCAATTGAACAATCTCTGAAATCTCTTCACCTTCTCCGAGGTATTCAAAGAATGCCTTCAAACTTGTGGGGTTCTTCCTATTCTTACTCTCAGCCTCAGCCTTGGCCGCCTTGTCCAGTTTCTGTGTGATGATGACGGCCCGGTCCACGATGTCAGCAACGCGCGAGAAGTCCTCGGGCCCGAAACCGCGAGAGGTCATGGCAGGTGTACCCATTCGCAGACCTCCAGGCTTCATGGCCGATTTGTCTCCTGGGACGGTGTTCTTGTTGCTTGCCACACCGCAAAGCTCTAGGACTCTCTCAACACGGGCACCATCGACGCCACGATTTTTGAGGTCGACGAGAACAAGATGGTTGTCGGTACCACCAGAAACGATGTTGTAGCCAAGCCCGCCGCTGTTGGTAGAGTTACCGAGACGTCCGGCCAACGCCTTCGCATTCTCCAGGACGTTTTGCTGATATGTCTTGAATTCAGGGCTTTGAGCCTGCTTCAGAGCAACAGCAAGAGCAGTGATCGTATGGTTGTGGGGTCCACCTTGGTGGCCGGGGAACACGGCGGCATTGATGGGATTTTCCAAGTCATACATAATGGGATTTCCCTTGGCGTCTCGTCTGCGGATACCCTTGCGGAAGAAGATCATGGCCCCGCGGGGTCCTCGGAGGGATTTGTGCGTCGTGGTTGTCACAATATCAGATTGCGGGAATGGTGAGGGGACGACACCGGCGGCAACCAACCCAGAAATGTGAGCCATATCGCTCAACAGATACGCACCAACGCCGTCAGCGATCTTCTTCATGCGTGGGTAATCAATCAGCCTGCTGTAAGCGGATGTTCCAGCAACAATCAGTTTCGGTCGGTACAAGTTAGCCATCTCTTCCAGCTTGTCATAATCGATCAGGCCAGTGGATTCGTCTAGGCGGTACGGCAAGGTTTCAAAATACTTTGAGACGGCGGAGATCTTCTTCGTGGGGGTCTGATAGCCGTGGGAAAGATGACCGCCATGAGGAAGGTCTAATCCCATGATACGGTCGTGGGGTTGCAGCACAGCCGAGTATGCGTAGAAATTTGCGGGAGAGCCGGATAGAGCTGTGAGATATGAGTTTCTAGACTCTCCGGGCTATACGGTGGTGGGCGGGACTCACGTTGCACGTTCACACCCCATTCTTCTGGGTTCAATCCGAATGCTTGCAGGGCGCGCTGCTGGCAGAGACGTTCGGATTGGTCGATGAATTCATTCCCACCATAGTATCTCGCGCCTGGATATCCCTCGGAGTATTTATCTGTTGCCGGTACGTTAGATTTCGCCAAACACCATTTGTCAAAAACGACTGACTCTGCATAACACTGCCAAGGGCATCGAGGACGGCCTGCGATGTGAAATTCTCCGAGGGAATCAGGTTGATGAAATGCTTCTGTCGAGATTTCTCCTGCATCATAGTTAGCCATCTGGAAAGCAAAGGCAAAAGCAATAAGATCAGATATATGCGTACATTTTGAACAATGCTATAGATGGTGGGATCGGCTTGTTCGAGCTTCTCCGCCAGCATCTAGAACGACAAATTAGCAGCCGCTTGACGAATTGCAACCCCTGCTGAGAGCGTACATTCTGATGCCCGTCAGTGTGCACCGACGCAAAGCTCTGCCATTGAGCCGCCCGTCTCGTTGGTTGACTCCATCTTAGACCGCCGGCGACTTTGGAATACCCGCCAGAGAGCCGGAGGAGCTTCGCAGCCTGCCGACCACAGCGATTGACAGACATTGGCAACTGAGACGAACTGAACTGGGTTCTTCCAGCAAGCTCAAAGGTTCACGCACGGGAATATATTGCTTCAACGGAGCAGATGTCGCAGCAACGAATTCACAGCAAGGTGCCCTTCATCCCACTCTTGTCGGCCGAAGTTGCTTTCCCGGAGAACACCATACCGCTCTGGGCCTAGCGGGGGGTCACGGGACCTGTCACCGAGTTTCCCGCGGGCAGCGACTGTTCTCTCTCTCTCTCTTTCTTCTTCTCTTCACACAACTAAATCCAAGATGACGAGACGGCCTCTTCGGCAGTTCCCAGCACTCGTCTTTCCCGTTGGCGTCAACTGGTCTGGCGGGCGGTGTTGATATGTCCCGGGCCCACTTCACCATCCTTTCAAGGACAATTTGAATCCTTCTGATTGGAAATCTGGTTGTGTTCTGCCTTGTCGCTTCATCGCGAAAGGAATCACTCGATTCTTGCTCTTGAGTTGTTTAATATCATGCAATACTGACACAGATACTGGCAACGGTGCCCCCCTCGAACGCTGGTCACAACGCTCAGCCATCGCTCAAACGTGTATCTGTGCTTTCGAACATCATTATCATGGAGGTGGTGAGAGTGTCAACTCTGGTGGTCGAGTACAGAAGGTTGATATATTACTGAACAGTCGGGAGACGACGTTTGGTCTTTTTTTAGCAGCAGAATGCTTTGAACGTGGAGTAAGAGATATTGGTCTAGATCTAGTCAAGCAGAGAGTCCTCTAGCGTATACTCCGTAGGAACTTCCTAGGTTTCTGGGCAATAGATGTTTCGCAGTACTGTCCTATCCTTCTGTTTCTCAGAACCTGATAAACAATGCCATCGGCAGAGCACCGGTGTGAATATTAATTAGCGCCGCGTTTGAATGCATCGCGATTCAATGCTGTCCCCCGCCAGCGGCTAATGAAAAGCTACCACCACCACCCTTGTATCACAGACATTATTGCTTTTCCCCTTTCTGAAGAATCCCAAGGATGATATAATACCCGGTTAGTTACGCGGAAGCCCGGATCAGGGTCCTCGATTCATACGGGAGAGAACGGTGTACCATCTTAACGATGTGTGGAACACTGACAAAGGTGTGCGCAGAGATTGCTCAGTCGAAACCCAACCCAACCGCAGGCTGGATGCCAGGGCCAAGCGCTCTGGTCTCAGATAAGGAGCCAGCAGGATCACGGATCCATCAGCCCTCAATCTGAGGCTTCAGCAGCGCCATCTCGCGACCAGTGGCGAGATATTAAATCAGAGCCGTCTAAGGTCTGAGACTCTGAGGAGATGCCCTGAGCCAAAAAGTCTCTCGCTTCAGCGAGGGAAGAGAAACAAATGACGGCTTCGGGTGGGGATTTGGGTGGAAATGAAGAGGCGAATCACACAGGCGGACTGGGGCTGTTTTGTTCCTGGATTCAGTGGCGCGGGACTATCGAATGCTGGGCGATCCTCGTGCGGACACTAAGGCCGAAAGCGAGGCGATGGACCAGGCGATCCCGAACCAAGAGAGTCGAGACGGAGATATTTATTTGTTGTGCTTTGCTGGGGAGTCAGAGTCTAGGTGTTGAGTCTTGAGTAGTTCTTGAGTAGTTAGTGGTACTCCGTACTGATTGTTCTGCTGTTGAAATGGAACGAAACAAACTGCAATCAAAACAGAACAGGTGTTTTGCATGACTGACTGGCTGATGGTCCAAGCCCTGCAGCCGTGATTCCAACAACCGCTGTGTCTTGCGTGTACATTACTCTCTGGATGTCCTATCACAATTCGCGAGCAAAGCAGAGAAAAAGAAAAAAGTCTAAAGAAAAGAACTCGCCAGGGGCCCGCTTCCATTGGCTGCCCCCTGGCGTCGTTAGGCTCTGGGCCCAGGGGTGCCGGGGGGCCCGTCCAGCAGCAACAACGGGCGACCTTTAATAAGAAACACCCCGTCGTCTTCCCTTTTCTTCCCTTCTTCTTCTCTCTCTCTCTCTCTTCTCTCCATCCACCAACACTCTTTCATCCCATCACCACTCATTTCCGGTTCTTCAACCGATTACATTCGTTTCTCGAAAGCTGCCTCGCTTGCTTTATACCCATCTCGCCTTTTGGATCTTGTGCCGTTGATTTTACTCAGCCAAACGAACCTCCCGCCAACATGCGTTTCTCCGTTGCTGCTTCTCTTGCTCTGGCCGCCGGCGCCTCTGCCACCATCATCAACCCCACCGGTGCCAGTGTCATCACCGAGGTCGTCACCCAGTACACCACCTACTGCCCCGGCCCGACCACCATCACCCACGGCACCAACACCTACACCGTGACTGAGGTGAGCGATGCATCTTGGACGATGCGAGGGAGTCCGCTGCTAACAATCTCCAAACAGGCCACCACCCTCACCATCACCGACTGCCCATGCACCGTCACCCGCCCAATCATCACCTCCACTGTCTCTGAGTGCAACGACTGGTGAGTGCTTCAGCAAATCTGCATATCAAATTCATAGCTAACCCCCCTTCTTCAGCCCTGCTCCCTCTGGCACTGGTGTCATTCCTCCTCCAGTCGAGCCCCCAGTCTACCCCAACGGCACTGCTCCCGCACCACCAGCTGGCACCGGCAACGTCCCCAGCTCCACCGTCCCATCTCCTCCAGACTTCACGGGCGCTGCTTCCCGCATGGTCGCTGGTGCCGGTGCTGCTCTTGCCGGTGTTCTCGGCGTTGCTTTCCTCTTGTAAATCTAATATCTGCGGGAAGATGGGGATTGTGAATATGGGCTTGGGGAAGATGTATACAAGGGGTTTGGGGTGTGTGTGTTAACGTGAATAACTTTTTAATCTCATGAATTCTTAATGTAACTTTAAACATGGGGACTGGCGTTTGCCGCCTGTTGCTTGTTTTGAATGGTGACATTGGTTTACATGACTTTGATGCCATTAATCTGGGTGCTCTGCATACATAGACGCGTAAGGCGTAATATCATTTCTCGATTCAAATCTGCAGTATCTCTGATGTTGCGTCTTCCGGCTCTGTTTTACCGTCGATCCCCAAAACAAAAATATCTTCCATTGCCCCACTGCGTCACCGACATCAAGGACGATCCGTCATACCCTTCACAGATCGACAGCCGATACTCCGTACATCTTGTCCCTGAACTCATCCAGGCTGACGTTCTCGTGTTGTCCTTGTATCACTCTTCCAGCATGCCACCAGCACAGAAATGAATGCGCCTTTTTGTACCTGAAAGAGCCACCATGCACATCCAGGAACAGCGCATATCCTTCTGCACAGGAAGCACAGACGCATGAGCATTGGTCATGTTGGGAACAAAGGAACCTGAATTTGTTCGAAAATAAACGGATTGATGTGAATGTGCGCACTGATCGCCGGTGCGCCGTGGGATGTTGTTTTTCTTTGGATCTGGTGTGATGTGTTCAGGCCGTCGCGCAGATTGTCAGCATTGAATCTGGAGATAAGTGGTGCCCTGGTGTCTGACTTGGTCTCTGTCATGATGGGTTATTGTCAAGCAGAGGTCCAGCTATGAGTGTAGCCTGTAGCAAAATGTACTCCCGCGCATGGCATCAGCCATTATTTGTAGAATTATTAGCATCATCGTCGAGTGAAGTTGTGACAGTCTACATACTTGCCAACATGTAAGAATGGAGCACAGACTGTTGCAGCGAAGCACGACGCTTTGTCACCTTCTCCTATGCCAACGTCTTCGAGTTTCGAAATGTGTCTCTCCAGCCCAGACACATGAACATTGCCTTTGTGTGAGCATCCTTTTCCATGTCTGCACCTAGAATTCATCCCTAGCAGCCAGAAGTGCCCGCGGCACATGAACCAGCATGGACAGTGATGACGGGCCTCTCGACTCGGACCCGACCAAGGCCAATGTGCCTTTGGAAACGGCTGGATGCTTGGGAGAGCTCACTCCAGAGGAACTGCTGCTGGAAAAGAAACTGCTGCGGAAGATTGACAGGCTGATCATGCCAACCGTCGTCTCTGTCTATCTGATGAACTACATGGATCGGTTTGTCTGTTCTGCTCCAACTCTCCCGGCATTTTCTCTTCTCTAACGGGACTATTAGCAACAACTATGCTTCTGCACGGCTGCAAGGTCTCGAAAGGGACCTTAACCTGACTCCGTCGCAGTACCAGACCGGTCTGTCCGTGCTGTTTATCAGCTATATCGCCATGCAGGTCCCTTCAAACCTGCTGCTCAACTATGCTGGTCGACCGTCTTTGTATCTCGGATTCTTCACCGTCGCCTGGGGCTGCGTCTCAGCGTTGACGAGTCTGGTGCGAAATTATCCGCAAATTCTGGCCTGTCGGCTTGTTCTCGGATTCTTGGGTAAGGCTTTCGGCATCGATACGTTTCTAGTTCGTTGCTAACATTTCGAATCACCAGAGGCGCCCTTCTTCGCTGGCGTGCTATTCTACCTTTCAAAATGGTATACCAAAAAGGAACTCACGCTCCGGATGAGCATCTTTTACGCTGGATCACTACTGAGCGGTGCATTTGGAAATTTAGTCGCGGCGGGCATATTGAAGGGCTTAGCCGGAAAATACGGGCTTTCGGCATGGCAATGGCTGTATATCACAGAGGGAACCGTCACCATCTCCATGGGGTTGCTCATCTGTGCAATCCTGCCCGACTTCCCGGACACATGGAGGCTCTTGACGCCCGAACTGAAGCGGGTCGCAAATCGACGACTCGCTATCGAAGCTGCTGAAGCAGACGTTGATGCTACGGGGGGCATGAGCCAGCTCGTCGGCTTCAAGCTCGCCATGACCGACGTCAAAACCTACCTTCTTGCCATCGCCTTCATGGCCAACAATTGCGCCAGCGGCTTCCAATACTTCTTCCCGACGCTCACCGCCACACTGGGCCTCAGCGACACCGTCTCCCTCCTCCTCGTCGCACCGCCCTACATCTTCATCCTCATCTACAACATCTTCCACTCCCACATCTCCGACCACCTCGGCAATCGATTCTGGTTCTTCATCTACCCCATCCCCATCTCCATCGTCGGATTCACCATCTTCATGACCACCAGCGCCTTTGCGCCGCGCTACTTCTCCCTGTTCCTCATGAGCTTTGTCTTCACAATGGTGCCTACCTGCTACTCCTGGATCGCGAGCGCGATCCCCCGACCCCCCGCCAAACGAGCCACCGCCTACGCGTTCATCAACTCGGTGGGTAACACGGCCGGCATCTGGACGCCGTATACCTATCGGGATCGGGACGCGCCGCATTATCGGCTGGCGCTGGGGTTGTGTGTCGCCCTGCAGCTGGTGGCGGGGTTGATGGCGGTGATTCTGCGCTGGTATCTAGTGAGGCAGAATCAAGAGCTGGAGCAGATGGAAGGGGAGGGGGAGGGAGCGGAGGAGCGAGTGAGGTTGATGGGCGAGGAGGCTGGAGAGCATACGGCTACGCAGCTTCCAAAGGGGTTTCGGTACATGCTCTGATATTCCGCGGCCTCGGTTTGTATTGTTCTTGTTTTGTTGTTTTGTTGTTTTGTTCTAATTATAAATATCCCCAATGGACGGTGTAATCCCGTCAACCACTTTTGGGGAACCATCCATGGTTCGCCCTCTCAGGAACCCGCTCATCAGACTTTCGGCCAATCCCTCG